GGACACGGCGCGGGGCGGCCCATCGGCTCAGCCAGCAGGTCTGCAGGTCCCGCAGCGGTGAAGGCCGGGGCTGACTGCACCTCGATGCCCTTGAGGAATAACTGAGTGAGTATTTCAGACCCGAGGAAACGCACTACTTGGGAACAGGAGGCGTGGTCCTCGGTCAGTTTCTGCGGGTGGAAAAGGGTCCCCTCACTGGTGGGTGAAGGATGCAGGGGGTTTAACCCGTCTCCCTCCTAAACAGAAGCCTGGAAATGTGTCCCCCCCGCCCAGGGGCCTTCCTGTAAGGATTTGATGCCTCGGGTGTTTTCCCACGACACAGGGCGACGCCATGTTTCGCGCACAACTTTTGCCTCCGGCTCCGCCGTTCCCTGACTTCAGCCAGCGCTGGGGTCGTACCTTCAGACTGCCAGCCGGTGGCGCGGAAGCCGGGCGACAGGTGCCCGGTGCCCAGCGGGGGAGCCGGGGACGACGAGGGCGAGCTGCCGAGGGACGGCCGAACCCCTCTCTTCCACAAACACCAGCGGAAGAGGATTCTTGAAAGAGTGACAGCTTGAGGTACTCTGAAGCCCCCTCGGAGCCCGCGACGTGCAGGACTCAGGCCACATCCCGAAACCGGCCGGAGAGAGCGGTCTCGCGCGCCGCGGGGTTTGGACGCGCTCCTCTTCCGCCACCTATCGGTGACCGCGGCTCATTGCAGTTTCCAAAGCTAACCTCTACTCCCCTATGAAGAGGACCGATGCAGGATGAAGACCAAGCTAGGAAAACTGGAACCATTAAAGGCACATTTTTCTGCCTTCGGATTAATATAGATTTAATGGCACCCCACTCCAGTACTCTTGCCTGGAAAATCCCATGGACGGAGGAGCCTGGTAGGCTGCAGTCCATGGGGTCGCGAAGAGTCAGACATGACTGAGCGACTTCACTTTCACTTTTCACTTTTATGCACTGGAGAAGGAAATGGCAACCCACTCCAGTGTTCTTGCCTGGAGAATCCCAGGGATGGGGTCGCACAGAGTCGGACACGACTGAAGTGACTTAGCAGTATTGAGTCCTCAGGAGGAAATACATATTCTTAAAATCTAGATGGTCTATGGTGCTGGGTAAATTAACTCTGATTTTCAGCTACCAAAATAATCATATATAGGGGTAAGAGGTAGGCAGAGTTTTATCTTCTTTCTTACAATTAGGTTAATGCTTTAGAATACATATGTGTATTACATGTTCTTTGTTGTTGCTGTTTTTCAGAAAAAAATGAAGGGACGTTTGAAAGAGAAATAGTGTAATAATACTTGCAAGCAAGAAAGTGTGTAATGTGTGCAGAATTAACGTTAGAGAGCTCCGCGGGGAACGAACATAGCATGAGAGACTGTCCATGTGTTGTAGGGGTCTGTTCCTTAGCTGGCAGATTGATGGGGTGCTACCAAAAGCCAAACTGTTGATATCCTTTAAGTCAGTAATCCAACTTCAAGAATTCTGCCCCAAGAAAAGAATCCAAAAATGTGAAAAAAGTAAAATGGATGAGAGTCTTCATAAGATTAGATAATGTTCAGCAAGAGAAGAGTTAGCTCTTGTTCATTCAGAATATGGAATATTGCAGACATTAAAATTATTTTAACACATAGCAAAATAAAAAATGTATACCCAAGAAAATAGAAATGTTGAATAAAACTGGAAAAAATATTTAAAATAGTAGAACTGAGTTAGAGGGTGGATTTAGAGTCTACCATACTATGTATACTAATGTTTGTTTTCCTGATTACATGATAAATACAGGAATACTTTCTTAATACATTTAAACTACACAAAAGTATATTAATCAAGAAATGAAGGATCCTGTTACCTGCCTTCTCCTAGCTTCTCTGCTCCCTGTTAATAGACTAATGTAAAGCTCTCCAAATCGTTAGAGTCACACACACACGTATTCATGTACACATTACTATATGTAGTGGTTTTTTTCTTTTAAGAAATTTTTTTTGGCCACGTGACTTGTGGGATCTTTGATCCCTGACCAGGGATCAAACCCGTACCCCCTGCTGTGAAGCACGGAGTTCTAACCCCTGGACAACCAGGGAATTCCCTGTAGTGCTATTTTAACATGAAACTCATAATATTGTATTCTTTGCAAGTTGATTCTTTTTAAAATCTGTACCATGTCTTTCTGAATCAATAATATATCTTTACCTCATTGTTTTTAACCACTACTAGTATGATTTACTCTGATACATTTAATTATGTCACAATTGATAGATACTTGTTTCTTTTCATTTTTTAAATGTTAAATAATTTTTCAAATAAGCCCTCTTGTAAACTTATCCTGATATACCTTATTAATGGATTTAAGCTTCTTCTAATTCATTCATTGGTCACTTGTATATACTTAGAAAATTTCCTATTCATATTTCTTGCAAGTTTTCCTCTTTCATTGTTTACATTTTAAGAATTTATTTGTCTGGGATCTTTATGAATTTTAGATTTTTATTGGGATTTAACTGAATTTAGAGTTTTGTACAACATGAAATATTTCCGTGCAGAGAATACTACACTTCCCCATTTGTTCTAGTTTTATTTTATATCCCTTGACAAAATATTACTGTTTTCTTTAGATCTTATTCACTTCTTGTTGGAATTTATATTACATAAGGAAGACATTTTCAATGGCTATTTATAGAACTGAAATCATTTTAAAATAAAATAGTTCCCAGCTCCAGTTGAAATCATAGCAATTTCTTAAAGCTATAATGATCTGTCAAATAACTCAAAGAAGTATAATTATTAGCCTACAATTTACTTGTAAACAAGGTACATCAATTAACAGGTTTTTTTCATGTCTTAACACACATCCTTTCTTTGGCAAGTTACTTATTACCTGGCAGTAAACAAGGAGGCCAGGTGGGTATCCAGCCTCATCCAGCTGGGTCATCAAGGAAAATAATTCTAGTTACTTAATGGTCCTTCAAAATCTTTATGTGTTTAAACTGTGACGTCTTTAAGACAGGATGTCTCTGCCACGTCTGTATGTATCCTTTCTTCTGCACCTCCACCTGCATCATGCCAGGTCTCAGCATTCCCTCACTAGAATGTCTCAGATCCTTAACAGAAATTGAAATTAAGTTGTCGATAGTAAATTTTTTCAAAAGGAAGTTGGAGCATGATAAACTGATCTTAAAATTCTGAAGAGAAGATGAACAAGAATAGGCTTGAATGTGTTTTTCTGGCTTACTGTTTACTTACTGAGAAGGCTGTTTTCAATTATCTTTGAGTTGAATTTATGTATTTATTCTTTTAGTTATGTCATTCTTTTATACATCTTGAGGCTTTTATTATGTGCATATACAAATTTTTATAGCTTCCTCTGATTCACTAAAACTTGTAACGTTATGAGATATTCATCCTTGTCTGATGTTAAGAAACCTACGCTATCTTTTTTATGAGAATTTTTATGGTATGTATTTCCTCTGTTTTTTTCTTTCAAGCTTTTAATATACTTGTCTTTTGAGTACATGTCTTGTTACCAGAGTGTTTTTTCAAATCCAATCTGTCAATCTGTCTTTTAATGACAGCATTTAATTCATTTACATTTAATGCAATTATTGATATAATCTACTATCTTGATTTTTGCTTTTGATTGTCCCATTTATGTTATTTTTTCTTTAATTGATTTCTTTCACAGGTAATTTTTTAAATGATTTCATTTTTCCTTTACGACCTTTGTGGTTACGAATTCTTTCATAGTTCCTTAAGTGATTACCCTAATTACCCCAGATATTACAAATGTCTTCTTATCAAGTGCATGTCAGTTATTAATTTATTGGCTCTCAACTTCAAGTCCACTGTTTATTGCCAGCTATGCAAAAAAGAATTATTTCTCCTTTGCTAGGCTTCCCTGGTGACTCAGTGGTAAAGAATCCACCTGCCAGTGCAGGATATGCGGGTTCGATCCCTGGGTGGGGAAGATACTCTAGAGAAGGAAATGGCAACCCTCTCCAATATTCTTGTCTGGAAATTCCCATGGACAGAGGAACCTGGGTCTACAGTCCATTGGGTCATAAAAGTCTGGACGCAATTTAGCAATGAAACGACAGCTAGTATGAAGTTAAGCTTTGTCTGCAGAGGGCACTAGAGGAGCAGTAGAGAAGGAATTGGTTTCTGTTCTTTGTTTCTTCAGAGTTGGGCTCCTGAAATATGAGATGAGCAACAGCTCCCAGCTGCTACCTGTTACCCTGGTACCCTCTAAAATGGCTTTAGGATTGTGCAGTCTGCAAGTCACCTCCCTAAAGATGGCTTTCCCAGCATCCCCTTGAATGGTTCTGAGCTTGTTTCAAGGCATTCGGCTTGTTAGCCTTTCTTGGCAGGAACAGATACCTATCCATTCAGTTCAGTTCAGTTCAGTTGCTCAGTCATGTCTTGACTCTTTGCGATCCCACGAACTGCAGCGCGCCAGGCCTCCCTGTCCATCACCAACTCCTGGAGTCCACCCAAACCCATGTCCATCGAGTCGGTGATGCCATCCAACCATCTCATCCTCTGTCGTCCCTTTCCCCTCCTGCCCTCTCCATGGCATAAAGAAAACCAGCCCCTAATGCCAAGATTACCTCTGTGGGTTTCCGTTTTCTCCTGATGTTGATAGCAGTGGAGATGGTGGAAAGTGGTTATACTCTGGGTATATTTTGAAAGTAAAGGTGATGGGATCTGCTGATGCAGTGGATGTTAGGGCAAAGTATAAAGAATGATTTCATAGTTTGGAAGTCATGGAAATGAGATCTGAGATATGAGAGAGGGAAAGAGGGCAGGTAGGGTAGAAAGATGACAGAAGGGGGTGATGTGGACACAGGTAGAAAAGAATTGAAGATGACTAAGAAGAAAAGTGAGGACATGCAGGGTCAATGGACTAAAGGTCTTGGTAATATCAAAGAATTGCTGGAGTCAGGGTACCAGAAGATGATAACTAGGAAGACAGCATGAAAATAAAGATAGGCTTGGTGGTAAGAAAACATCCATATTTAAAAATAATCTTTTTATTTGCTCATCATACACATTTTATCATATATTCATATACTGATATACATTACATTTATTTGTCAGTAATAATTGAATAATTTACTATATACCATAAATCACAAAACATAGGTGGAATGTATGAAGTGAATCAGAGATATCAAATATCATATTATTATCTTTGTAAGGAGCAGATAATTATGAGATTTAAGGAGAATCTTAAATCTTAATCTTCAGAATTAAAGAGGTAGTATACACAATTAAGAAATCAGTTTTGATATTCAGATCAATGAGAGGTTTGTGTGTACTGGAAACATCAATATGTAAAATAGAAACATAGTCAATAATCACATTCCTAGAGATAGTGTGATAATCACAGGAAAATCATCAAAAACTACAGACGTTAACAGAAACAGATAAATTAGTTGTGGGTTTTAACCATTGCAACAGTGTTTTCAAGTGTTCAGAAGAGGACTTCTTAATTTTTTCGAGGTATAGGTCTTGAGTGTTGATTATTCTATTGACCTTGAAAGACTTTTGTCTATAGGATTCACTTTATCATTAGCTAGTGTTCATATATTTTGTTCAAAGATACCACTATTTGTTAGAATTTATAATCTACATTAAGTAGTAAATTTTGCCGCTGAACCAAAATTATTTCAGTCCCAATGAAATTTTACATCTTGGGTAGCCTCTGCAGCCTTGTTTTGGTAAATATATCATTTCAGCGAAACTTTTTCTAAAACTGAAAACAGCTCATGAATGCTTCTTGCTCGATTATATTCATGGACTCTATCTGGGGAATCAATCTATTAAGGAACAAAATGTCTATGTTTACATTCTTTTTAATTTCCATTTTAACTTTTTCTCTTTCTTATTTTCTTCTCATAGCCCCTCATTTATCTATTTCTGTCCTTTCTTCTCTTCTTCTAACCCAGCGTGTGCTCCCCCCACCCCTTTTCTTTTCCTTGTCTTCTAGGAAATCTTTTCTCCTCCTGTTCTACTTCTTCTGTGCTTGGATTTACATCTCCTGTTGTCATTGTTTTCCATAGAGAATTTGTTCCTATTGCATTCATGGGTTCTTTTACAGAAAATTATGGACAGTATAATTAAAATATTAATAATCTGGCTATGTAGTGATCCAAAAACATAAGATATGTGAACATTTCACAAACACAACATTTGATTCTCCATTGCTGATGTCAATAAGGCATAGTCTCTTTGGTATAAGCTTCATGTTCAAGACGCAGCATCAATGAATACTTGAATTTTTCATGTAGCTTAGTATCCCTGTGAATTTAAAGATATTACTAATGAACAGCAGTATGAAACTCTTTTCAATATGTTTTCATTTTTTATTGCACTGAGGTGAATTTTTATTTTTAGTCTTTAGTTCAGGTTATATAGTCTATGATGCTTTAAGGTAAGTGAGACTCTAAAGCTGGGCTGTAAACTGAAATGACTCTCCTCCCAACTTTGTATAGATTCACCCTATGAGTGGTTATAGGTCCCAGGATTCTCCTGTTTCTTTCGTAAGGTTGTTATGGTCAACATTTATTGCACACTTACCATGTGTCACTCACTCTTCTAGAAGGGCCTGAAGAATATGACATAACCCCATGAGGTAGGTGCTATTATTATATTCACTTCAGAGATGAAAATCTGGGACACAGATTTCCCAAAGGTCACAAAGTAGGTGACAGAACCAAGATTTTAACTCAAGAGGTCAGTTTCCAAGTCTGAAATGTTGACCACCATATAACTGCTTCCTTGATAAGGCAACTTGGAAATGCACACATTGACTTCCCGACAACTGAGATCTTCATCTCCGCTCCCTTTCATTATACAGATGTCCTTTCACCTATCTTGATTCAGATCTGCTCCATCGGCAAGACCTTGGACTTGGCAATCCCTCATTCAGCTGCCTCCTTACCTTTAATGCCTCCCACTTCTTCACAACTATAGAACCTCTTCAGCATCCCCATTGAACCTCCTGACTCTGTTTTCCCAGAGCCATTCATGCCTCATTCCTGCCTTCCCTTCCTTCTCTGCCACACCAGGAGGACCTGCCATTGCTCTAACTCATCTTGTATTTTCCTACCTTTTAACTTCACTCACTCCTTCTGTCTGGATTATTCTATAATCTCTCCCTCCATTTCAGCTTATTAAAAGTATTCCCCAACCTTCAAATGCAAAAAAAAAAAAAAAATGGGATGGATATAAATGTGTCTCCCAGATCCACAAGCTGCTTTACCTGGGAGATCTCAGGTCTTCTCTACCCATGGTACATCAGGAAGGACTTCCAGTCGGGTGGTGTTAGGGGGAGTTTTATTTGAAAGTGGTTCCAAAACCTGTAAAAGAGATAAAGCAGAAAAATGTGTTTTGGAAATGTCCTCCCGTTGTTTGCCAAGATCTGTCTGGTACCTGGTTCTCTGCTCTCCCTGAGACAGCATTTCTTGTACTGTTTCAGATATCCGTGTAGTTTCACATTTCTAGTACGTTAAATGCAGTCCCTTAAAATCTGACAACTGTGTCTTATTTTTATTTGTCCATGATAGGCCTTGCTTTAAGGAATTCTCATATGTAAAATATAGATTTGTATTCTGTGCACAAAAGCATTAGGACCCAGTATTGGTGAGGGTGCCGGTAAGTGGGCTGCTACAATATTTCTGGGAAGGTGAGCTGGCTTCCTCAGAGCAATCTGGCAGATGCATCAAAAGTCTACATGCTGCGTGTATGTTGGATACTAGCAGCTCCACTCCTAGGAATTTATCCTAAGAAACCACCATGAAAGTATGCATGACACATCAACAAGTTTATTTGCCAAAACGTCATTTCAAATAGTGAAAAGTTAGAAACTTACAGGGTGCATCAAAGATTGTTCAGTAAACACATAGGTACAAAAGTATATATAGTACTGTCCCATTTTTATTAAAAAAACAAGTGCCTGTGATGAAAGATTAACTAGATGTGTGTGTGTTAGTTGTTCAGTCATGTCTGACTGTTTGTAACTCCATGGGTCATAGCCTGCCAGGCTCCTCTGTCCATGGAATTCTCCAGGCAAGAATACTGGAGTGGTTTGCCATTTCCTTTTCCAAAAGGAACTAGATACCAAAATACAAATTGCCTCTCTGGATGGTGGGGTCATTTTTTGTTTTAACTGCTTTTTGTTTTGGAGTGGTTTTTTTTATTTAAAAAACATTAAAAAAAAATTTCCTGCAGTAGATATGTATTGGTTTTATGACCAGAAAAATATTTAATAAACTCATAAATCCCATCTTGAGAACAACAAAGATAAATTGGGCTATGACTGCTTTCCAAGATTTATTATGGAATTCTCTTACACTTACACTGCTCTTACATTTATGACCTATTTTATCAAAACAATATAACAAAATAGTCTTCAGCATCAGTATCCCAGAAGCTTCCAAGTGAAAGTGAAAGACTCTCAGTCGTGTCTGACTCTTTGCAACCCCATGGACTGTATAGTCCATGGAATTCTCCAGGCCAGAATACTGGAGTGGGTAGCCTTTCCCTTCTCTAGGGGATCTTCCCAACCCAAGATGGCATTATTTTTTTAAAGAAAAGTAACCTTCAAATCTCCCCCAAAGTTGCTACATTTCCTTTTTTTTCCAGAACAAGAAGTACAAGTACTGCTGAAAATGAACAAAACTTGGAATGTTTTTTAGCAGGTAAAATGTTTGAGGTTGATCTATGTATCCCAACACTAGGGGCCCCAAAGATAAATTAATGAGTAACAATGCAAATTATGTATGTACTAGGATGACATTAAAAAACAACAACAATAACCTCCCCTCCCCAACTCTATGGGACATTTTATTGAGAACAAATAAAGTTACTGAAGTGCTCATGCACTCAGAAATAGGCCTGGGATGATACACATTGTAGTCTGATCAAGTGTTACCCGGGAGAGTGGGTGGAGGGAACAGCAGAAAACAGATACAGTTTTCTGGGAGGTATGGGTGGGGTAGGTTTATTTCTTTTTATTTTATATACTTCTACATTCTTTAAATGTTTTAAAAATCATTTCAAAACATTCAAAAAGAAATAAAAAAGAACATTCAAGACATGCCTGTGCTTTTGAGCTCAAGGCAGAAACTAGATAGTAGGCTTTGCTTGTTTAAAATTAAATTCCTGAACTTTCAGAAGGTCAGTGGTAATGATAAGAAAGTATTCTCCCTCTTGCTGATTATTTTGTAAATATGAAGATAGCAAGTGGGCCTTCCTGACCCTTAACTCAGCTAGTCCAATGATAGTCTCAAAGATATATACAGGTTTGCAATGAGAAACTTGCACAGTTTTAATGTGTAAGCAGGTAGAGATTCGGAGGGTCATTCCCCTTAACCAACTAGCTCACCAAAGTCATGCTCAGAGCTGGACACTGACAAAAATGTGTCACATGGGAAATGATTGTCTTCAGTGATCAAGTCTTTGCACACAAATAACCCCTCCTTGTTCCTGTCTTGGCCAGGCACACCCTTTCTCCCTTCCCTTTCCTGTACCATGAACCACTTTCAAAAGATACTGAAACATATTTGCATGAATGTAGAAACAATGACTCTTTCAAATGTTATTTTCCTAACCAGATTTGCTTTTCAACAGATTAGCAAAGAAATAAAGCACTGATGGTGGAATCGCCCACGTCCATCAAAATTTGGGGGCAGAGTCAGCCACTGACTCGGCTCATACACCCGCAGCGTCCTCTGCAGTGGCGTAGGGCACGGCAGGCATTTTCAGACTCACAGATGGTGGTATATGTCAGGATCCCGCTGAAGCCGGGTTTGGAATCCTATATACAGGTCGTCCCAGAGCAGACCGTTCTTCACCACGTGTCTGATGACGTCAACCCGGCTCCTAATCTGAAACAGATAAGGGAGCAGCTAGCAGGGGCGCCTCAGCCAGCACAGAGCATCGGTGTCAACCCCTTGTGTCCCTGAAAGAGGCAGCTGTCCATAATGCAGGGGTCTGAGAAGTCAAGGAGAAAAGCCTACTGAAGTAGATGTCACAGGCGGAGGTGGGGAGGGGACATCTGAGTGAAGCAGAAACTGAGAGAAGGAAAACAGGAAGTGTATCCGGAGCTGGGGGAGCAGAGTGACAGACAGCACAGACAGAATCAGATTGCTGGGCTCAAATCCATGGTCTAGCTGTGTGATCCTGGCCACCATTCCGTGCCTCAGTTTCCTCATCTATAAAATGGAGATAATAGACGGCCCCTCAAGGGACCGTGGTGAAGATTCACTGAGTCAATGTACATAAAATGTGTAAAACAAGGCCTGCCACTGAGCAAGAGCGCCTTAATTCAGTGGCCAAGGCCCTTACCTTTCAAGAATCCCAACTCCTGACACAGGATCTGCTGACTAGTCAAAGGTGCCCAGGGTTAGGAGGCAAGCAGAGATGTTTTTGAGTCTCAGCTCAGCACTTACTAATCATGTGACCTTAACCTTGCTAAGCCTCGGTCTCCTGTGTTACTGTTGTGAGAAAAAAAGAGATATTTATGAAATAAAAGGGGAAAAAAAAGCACGAAGTAGTGTGAAGGGAAGTTAACTAAGGTTGGACATGGTTTTAACACTTCACTGGCATCCTTTTTCAGTATCTGGCATCACATTTTTTCTCCTGATAAATATGCTAATACCAGTAGAGGCAACTTTATCATAAATGACAGAAGGATTAGAAGACTGGCGTTTGGATTTATTTCTCTTTCCCACACCTTTTTGACAAAACAATGACATCCATTGTGAACTGAGAAGGCGAATACAGGTCAAAGAATCTCTTATTTTGCCAACAGAGACTCAGAAACATGACTGTGTAGCTTGTCGAGTTGAGGACTGCCCAGCTAAGGTTCAGTATCAAGATTGAATTCCTCGCAGTGGAGGAGAGAAGGTCTTTCATCATCTTTCAAACTAGAGACTAGCATGTGGAAGAATCAGGCAGCCTTTGAGAAATGTTTGGACTGAAAAATGGAAAGGTCTTGGTGGTTTGATTAGATCTGGGGATGAGGGAAAAGGAAAAAGGTGAAAAGCTCTGCTTCTAGCTGGAGTCACTGGTGGGTTGGGGAGAGGGGGAGGAGGCACTAATATTGCCAATGATCAGGCAGAAAATGAGAAACAGCAGTTTTAAGAGAACAACGATGTGTTGAATTTTGAACAATGAGGTACAAGGATTTGGAAGTCCAGGTGATATTATCTAATAGGCAATTAACTCTAATGAATCCAAAGCTGGACAGTGTTGGTGGGAGCTGGGAAAAGTCTGGATTTTTGGAGCCATTAGCAGAGATGTGGTGCTAGCAAATGTGTTCACCCAGATACAGGCTTGAGAAGATGAGTGGGTTGAGCACAGAACCCTGATGGAAAACAGGAGATGTAAGTGGTGGCTGGAGAAAGAGACCCCAAAAGAATACAGAAGAAGAGAAGTTAGGAGGCCTAGTGCACTGGAGCTGAGACAGGACTTCTAGTTCAAAATGATGGACAGATCCCATGCATAACCTGCCTTCCACCCATTTCTGGATGCAACTGAAGTTGCTAACAAAGCAACTGCACAGGTATGAGCCGCCACAATGAAGAAGAAGTGAAGTGAGTCTTTGGCAGAAGATTTCAACTAATGAATGTGAACGTGGAAAGCAGGTAGGTGAGTGGCATTAAAGAACAGGGCAGAGGCTGCAGAATCCAGGAGAGTATGAGAAAGGACGTTCAGATTTGGAAAGAGAAGAGGTAGGTGTACTATGAATAACAGCAGGGGCACAGAACACAAAATTATGTACATGAAACAGTGAACACTGACTTCCCTATGCTTACACATGGTTCTGGGGCCAAATACCTTCAGACAGTTCTCTGACTAAATGGAATCAATTTTACAGGAAGAATGAAGGCAGGGAGTGTATTTGTGATGCCTCATCACAAATACAAGGACCTCCACATTTTGGTATTTAGGAGTCCCTCAAGCCTAATAGCTGGCTCCTCACCTTCATAAACTCATTTGAGTGCTTCCTTGTCCACATACAATCTAGGTTATAGTTCATAGCTTACTCCCTTTTAAAAAACGGAATTAGCCTTCCACATTTATAAATCTAGATGTTTCACATGAAAATCCAGATATCCAAGTTTTCTGGAAAATTCGGAGGATCAGCTGGAGCTCAGTAGGGGCGCCTCCCCTCCCATGCTTTCCACTTGACCCAGTTCCCAGTCAGTCCATCTGCTTAAAGATCTGCCTGGGGTCCATCTGTGGGCATTTAAGCATGTAACCCCCACCTTCAAGTAAAGCCTGATGGATAGTAAGTCTTACCCATATACAGAGAGCCCTGAGTCAGCTTGAAAAGGTCTCTCTTTTTTTTTTTTTTGTAAATATAGATCAATCCCTTAATTCTTAAAGTCACCTACAGTGGAAGGAAGTTCAGCCTGGGATAAGCAACACTGCACGCAACTAGAGGCCAAAGGAGCAATGCCTTCAGGTATCCGTGGAAAGTGACTGCCACCCAGCATTATGTGTTCAGCAAGCTGTTGTGCAAGATCAGGCAGGAAAGTACTTAAAGGGTAGCTCCTGTGCCAACTTTCTTCAGCAGATACCTAAGCAGAAAATACCACAAAGGAAGAAAGCAAAGAAGTGAAGACATGGGTGGGGTCTAGAAAAGGTTGAGGGAGGTCACAGGGTGACAGATTGGCGGCAGACCCAGAGAGGAGCCCATCCAGACCGGAGCAGGAGCTCCTGAGAGCTCTAGGAGCCAGGCATCTAGGAAAGATGGAGAGTTGGCATGATAGAAAATATATTTACGTGTTTGAAAGGCAGTGAATGCCTCCCCTCCAAAAAAGGCAATATGAAAAGGCTCCAAGTGGCAAGAGATGGAGCTCTTCCAAGGATAACCTCTTTAAACAAACCTCAACATACAGAAATCTTACTAAAATCCTGAGATATAAAAGCACTGAGAGTCAAAATAGGGACCACCATGTATGCGGCAGGCATGATGATTTGCCCCATGGTGTGGTAAGTCTGCTCATTTGTATTGAAGAGAGCTGTTGCTAGCTTTATTCAACAGAAGCAATGTGAAAAGCTGTAAAAACAAGCCTTTTTTTTTAATGACATATTTTAAATGAACTTGTGATTTTAAAAATTACAAGGAAAAATCTCCCTTATGGTTAACCTTAATTTATGTTTCGTAAATTCAGATTTAAGAAGCAATGCAGTGGCTAAATACACAGCCTCTGCAGTTAGACCCCTTGCTGTTAAAGCCTTCAGCATGACTTACAAACTGAATGACCTTGGGCAGATTATTGAAACTCTCAGCACGGCATTTTCCTCATCTGTAGGGGAGTATAGTAAAATCAATTCATATCATGGTTGTTAATATTAAATGACTTAAAAAAATTAAATGACTTATATGAAGCTGTGTTATGTATGTGTTTGGTAAAAAAAGCAATAAAATATCAGCTTCATTTTGCTTAAAATGGGTGTTTCATGTAGCGTTTTCCTACATGTGAAAACTCAGTTTTTTAAAACCCCCAAAGCAGGCAGTAGATTATTGGTTTTACTAAAGTCTCAGCATAGGATTCTCTTCAACAGCAAGTACTAAACATAAAAATACAAATCCAATTATTAAAATGTAGTTTAAGAACAGGTCTATTATATAAAGGTATATATAAACCTCTATAATTAAGGCATTACACAATTATATGGCACATGTTTAATATGCTTAAGGGCAGACTATACACCCTCCTAATTTATTTAGTGATTCTTACATGTACATAGAATTTAAAATTACAATCCATGCTCATATATATTATGTCATTTGACTATCATAAAAGAATTGTAAAGTAAGAAGAAGCCCCATGGAAGGGGGAGGGGAAAAAAAAAAGACTTGAATAGGGATTCAAAGGCTCATAGTCAGTAATCCTAATCAGCAGGGGTAGGGAACCCATACCAGTCTTGACGTTATGTCCAAAGCCCCAGCTCTTAACATCATGCCTGACTTGGGCTAGGGATCTGCTAAAAGTTGGAACTCAACAAAATATGCTTTGGTTTATGTTGACAGTTTTCTGTAGAAAGCCACCAGTAGGGCTTGTTTGTGGAAGGAGACACTGCTGGAGAAAAGGTAGAGGGGCAGATAAAGATCAATGCTTGCAGGTCTGCTAACAGCACAGGAGGGTCAGCTGTTTGGAAGGAAGCAGGTAGAAAAGCCAGTCTTTGCAAATGACTCAAAAAGAAGCAAGTATGGAGTTTAGTTAAAAATATTCTTTGAATATCGGCATATTTGCGACAAATGTAGCATGTTAAAGTAGTATGTTAACATTCTCTGTACTATCCTTGTGACTTTACCGTAAATCTAAAGTTACTCAAAAATTTTTGGAGTAAATTTAAAAATTTATTTATTTAGGAAGGAAGGAAAGAAGGAAGGAAGGAGCATTTCCACTGGTCTTGCTGCTTACTTCCTCATATGGATGTTCCCGGCTTGGTCTTTCTTTTGGAAAGGATAAATCTAGAAAGTCAACCAAATAGTCATATCCTCCAGGAAAAGGGCTGAAGTCCTCATCTGTCTCAATCATCTGTGCAAATGACAATATGGTAAAGGGGAGAAGCATATCAATCTGGTGGTCAAGATCCTCAAAAAATTCTAGAATGTGCAAGCAAATGATAGCAATGAAGTGGAATAAATATAAAAAGAGGCTTGCCTCTCTCTTCTCTCCTACTCCCCCTATCACTCTACGTGGCTCTCTAACTCGCTCTTCTCTTTCCTGAATTGAATTCTAATCCTACTCTTCTACACTAGCCAAACTGCTTCATATCACTAACTGCATTCAGATTTACAGAGAAGGTTATCATTGTCTTAGATATATGTATAATTAGTATACTTAGTAATTAGTAAGTATAATTGGTAATGAGCTATCAAATACCACTGTAGTTTGCAGGCTAAAAGATAAATAAAACATGGAATGTTTCTTACCATCACCTAGCAGCCAAACATAAAAAGTGTCATTGAAAATTCCAAATATTTTCTCTTTTTCACATTAATCACTCAACTGAAAATCTCATTTAGACCAAAGTTCCTCAGGTCTTCGGTTTCAAAGACAATTTTCTAAAAAATATTTGGGAGCTAATAGAGGCATCAATATTTCACTTTGCTAAGTGAAGACTTAAAAAAAACACTTACATCTACTATCCTTTTATTTCATTAAAGGAAGAATGCTTTCATGCCTCAAAAATAGGACTAATTTTGGAAGCCTGGCATGCTGCAGTCTACTGGGTCGCAAAGAGTTGGACACAATTTAGCAACTGAACAACAAGGGTTGGACACAATTTAGCAACTGAACAACAATAATCTTGGAATAATGGCAATTCATCCCAAGAAAAGAGAGTTGACATCTTTGTAACCATACTCACATGCATCCTCGTTTCATTACTGACCAGCAAAAGCTTTGTCACAGCCTGGCACTGACCCCTGGGTAGCTTTTTAGGACTTACTGATTTTGAGAATGCTAAGTATTGTCTGCTACCAAGTATTAATGTTCAGGGGTTGAAAGGTAAACTTGAAACTAATCCTCACTTTAAGGATAACCAATCTTTGTTTCCAAGGGTATAATGTGTCCATTTCCTGATGCATTCCCTAAACTTTGCTCCCCATGCACAAATTCAGGCACTAAATATAAGTGGGATAAAATATACAGATAAGTACTGCAGGGATTTCCAGCCCATTTCGGACCTCCTCTTTCTCTTTCACCCCCTGCTTTTTGGCACATATTTTGCTTTTGGATACAGCCTCAGTTTTCTGGTGACCAGCTTACAGCATGAACCACTTGAGCCTGTAAGTTCTGTGTGTATATGTCAGGGCTAATTTCAGTTCCAGGCTGACCCTGCGGTTGGTTGCACCTCACTCCTTACCACGGCTGCAGATAAGAATTACCCACTTCCCTGCTGCTACAGGAAACCACCTCTCTGGTGGAGTCCACCTGCTAGTTTCACAGTTTAAATAGCTTTTTCTGCCATACAAACACAACACAGCAAAATACCGACAAAACAAAAACAGCTAACACGTGGTGATGGGAAGAAAAGGAGTGCTCCCAAAGAGAAACTGAGCCGGACCTCAGAATGCTTCCTATGAAAACATTTTCCAAACAGGATTGCTTTAGCACATTGTCCCATCGATTCTCTGTGAGGCAAATGGTAGGACTTAAAAGATGCTTATTGAGAAATAAATTGGACCATGAAGGGGCTTTCATATACTTCCATAATACAGGAAAGCAAAGACAAATAGTATTTCATAAGCATACCCTGACCACCAGGTTGTAATCCTTAAATCCAGCCCAAGTGAAGTATTCTTTTATCCAGGATGAGTGATGAAATATTTCATCTCCTACAGCAGCATTCAAGATTTTCAAATATGGTCCAAAGTCCCAGGAATCCTTGTAAATTTTAGTCCCCTCCGGAGGCTCAATGATGCCTTTGCTTAAAGACAAAAAGGTGAGAGAACAAGGAAAGAAGATAGCAATAAATAAGGAAGGAAGGCAAAAGCTAACACTTCAATTTCAACAGTCAATCAGAGGAACAGCTTTTCGATCATTCAGGTGGTACCCAGGGGTCCCACAGAAGTGCCCTGGGGGATACTGAGAGGTAGGGCTCTTCCCTAGCCTTAACCAGAATAAAGTGAAGTCGCTCAGTCATGTCCAACTCTTTGCGACCCCATGGACTGTAGCCTACCAGGATCCTCAGTCCATGGGCTTTTCCAGGCAAGAATACTGGAGTTTGGGTTGCCACTTCCTTCTCCAGGGGATCTTCCCGACCCAGGGATCAAACCCGGGTCTCCTGCATTGTAGGCAGACGCTTTACCGTCTGAGCTACCAATATCTCCTGTTAATTGTCTAGTGTGATGGCTCTCAAAGTCAATACATTTAAAGATAAAAGTACTTCTCTGGAAAAAACAAAGTTGGAAAGCCACTGATGCAGACCCTTTCAGCTCAAATCACTAAATTATGGGAATGTTGAATATAATATGGTCATGTTGATTTTGTAGAAGCCTGCTCACACCTGCCCTGTCCTACCACCTCCACTAAAATATAAGTTTGATGAGAGCAGCAACCATGATTGGCACACAGAAAGTGTTAGTCATGTCCACCTCTTTGCTACTCCATGGACTGTAGCCCGCCAGGCTCCTCTGTCCATGGGAAATCCCAGGCAAGAATACTGGAGTGGGTTGCCATTCCCTTCTCCAGGGGATCTTCCTGACCCAGGGATCGAACCCTGGTCTCCTGCTTTGCACGCAGATTCTTTACTGTTTGAGCCGCCAGGGAAGCCCAGCCATGGAAGGGGCCCCATAAGCATTTGCTGAACAGAGGAATGACTTTAGCCTGTCCTTGAAATATACCCAGAGTTTTGTGTCTTTAATAAATGGTCATCTTTCTGTACTAATGAAAGCCGACAGACAGATGGGCAACTCTACCTGGAAACCCAGTCAGCAATATGGATGACAGTTCTCTGACATTCCTAAAGCTGTCCATCCAGTGTGAGGATGGATCACTGCATGGGACATGGAAACTTGAATCCTGGCAATAGAACAGAATGTGATCGGGATGAGGGAATCGTGATGAGGGAATGGGCACCTGCTAGTAGAGATTTGGCAACTCTGTGGCACTTCTCAAAACAACACTTTTAGTCCATTGTTTGACCAAAGCTAGAGATGCACTGGTTTTGGTAATAAATTACTTGTCAAATCCTAAAGTTTCTAACTTATAAATGAATCTCAAATCTGTTTTCTCAACTCCTCACCTCCTCTCAGTTTATAGCCTCACTAGTCTCTTGCTGGATAGAGCCTCAGCCTCCCAGCCTTCCTGACTCCAGTTCTTCCCACTGTGGCCTCTTCTACATGCTCTTCTGCAAACTGAAATGGGTTAAAAAAAAAAAAAACATACAGCGCAGTAATGTTCCTTCCTCACTTGATAACTTTCTCAAGCTCTCCTTACTCACAGGCGAGTTCCTTGGACTGTTTTGCAAATTCTTTCCAGCCCTGGCCGGACACGGTATTCCTGTCTCACCCTTTCCCTCCCCCTTCACTTACCGCCCCTACACTGGGGTGGATTTCACTTCATGAGGGAAGGACCTCTTCACAGCTGTTTGCCTGTACCCACTATGATGCCAAGTTTGTAGAAGGAGCTCAGTAAGTTCTTTCTGAACGAATGGCATACTATTTACTTACTCAAAGTAAATATATTTACTAACGCAACATTGTAAATCTACTATATTTTAATAGAAATATTTTTTTTTAGAAAACAAACAAAAAAACGAAGTATTTGCATTTACCAGACTCATGACATTATTTGGACCTCCCTTCTCTAGCACGTGCCAGAATCTCGATCTCGTGCTCTCTTAATTACTCTCTGAAACCTCCTCCTGATTTCTAAGGCACAAATGCTTTCCTGGACACATTTACTGTTCTCTCCTGCCCCTTCCTCCCCTCACAAGAAGGCAGAGTTAAGCACTTAGTCTCCCTATATCCCTTACTCTGTGTCTTACAATTGAGAATCCAACAACAACCAAACTTCTTGTTACCCAGAATGCTTTGGTGTGACTTGATGATACAAATGCAGATTCCTGGGCTCTGCCTCCTATCTACCCAATCAGAATCTTAGAGGGTGGAACCCAAGGAGCTGCAGTTATCCAACTGACCGGAGTTATTCTGATGCGCTTTCAAATTTGAAAATTATTACCATTGGATACATCTGGGGAACTGGAGAGAGAGGATGGAGAATTCTGCAAAGGCCAAACGCCAGACTCTTGAATGCCCTGCTAAAACCTGAAATAATTAAAACCTTTTCTCACCCCTGATCTAGAGAATACAAACTGCTTTTACCCTTGAGATACTGGGGAGATTCTAAGGAATTTTAAGCAGGGAAGGGGACAGAGTTTTGCATTTAAAAAAGGTATCTTTGGCAGCAAGGTAGAGTAGGGGCTTTCCAACTCCTTGCCTGTGATCCCAGTAAGGATTCTATTTTACAGCAGGACTCCCACATACCAAGGGCACTTGTGAGACAAAAGTTGCCTGAAATAATACTATCCCTTGTTATATTACTTGGGCAATGTACTCAGGTCTATTCGATTTTACTCTATTACGTTTTTTAAAAATGCTGGCTGTGGCCAATGCCATTGATGTTTACAAGCCAGCGGTGGATTGTGAGCAGCACACGATCAGGATGTGCTGAAGGATGGGTCAGAGGAGGGGCTCGGGGGCCACTGCAGGAGTCTAGGTGAAAAGCTATGAGAGGCTAAATTAAAGTCACAATGGAAGAACTAGAGTGATGGATTTGTGAGAGATTTATGAAGCAGAATTGACTAGATGTGGCAACCAGTTGGGTATGGGAGGTTAGCAAAAGGTCATAATCAGCTGGCTGCACCATTCATGCCAACTTTGCAAAGGTAAGGCCACGAGAGGGGTGTGCTATTGGTGTGTCCAGTTTTCCAACACATTTAGTCCATTTCTACATAAGGGTGAGGAACTAACAGATTCATTTGGCTCAAAACAAGTATTTGTAAGGGGCTTCCTAGTGGCACAGTGGTAGAGCATTCCCTGGGTTGGGAAGATCCCCTGGAGAAGGAACTAGCAACCCACTTCAGTATTCTTGCCTGGAAAATTCCATAGACAGAGGACCCTGGCGGGCTACAGTCCATGGGGCTGCAAAGAGTCAGATATGACGGAGTGACTGAGCACATATGCAAGTATTTGAAAAATCTAGACCTGTGACATCAAGGTTGACTTTTCCTGAGTGGCACGCCCTGTGCACTGTTTATTGTTCAAATGTACTGTCTGTGGAATTGGTAGGTGGGTAATGTTTATGCTCCTATGAAAACTAACTCTCAAGCTCATTGTTTTTCTTTTCTATTTTTAAATATAAATTTATTTATTTTAACTGGAGGCTAATTACTTTACAATATTGTCGTGGTTTTGCCATACATTGACATGAATTCGCCACGGGTGTACATGTGTTTTTCACTTTGAGCTGTATCAATTATCTTTCAAAGAAAAAACTTCCTAACTCTTTATCTCCAAGGAAGCTTCTGAGATGAGGAAAACACCTGGGTAACTATTATACAGGATGAGAAAATTATTTATAGGACTGAGAAAAAAATTCAATCTTTTATCCCCTAGATTTGAAAGATATTTATTTAATAGTTTTTTATTTGAATGGTAAAACTTCTGTTTAAAAAAGTGATGTATGGATATTAATTCATGATAAGTTTAGGATGCTAGTCAAAAAAAATAAAATAAACCTTAATATTCCTACGAATAGGGACCTACCAAGGGGCCATAAGTATGTCCTTTATTTTCTCCTAAAACTGAAAAAAAAATTCCTGAATCATTTTTATTCTCTATTAAGTATTTAAGCCAAACCTGTCTGTTGGATCCTTTAGCATCCTTCCCAGATCAAGAGTGGCTCCAGGTCGCGGTGTCCACGTTAACACATCAGAATTTTTCTTGATAAGATTGTTGAGTTCATCTGGGTCATTTTTGGTGTTTGTTTCCTTAATATACCTGAGAAATAAGGACATTCCCATGTCAGAAAGCTTATGGGACAAGGACAGAATTTTTATTTTGTTTCCACTACATTCATACTTCCCAATCCCCCTCTACTTACCTCAGGAAAAGTAAAGATTATATCTGGGCTAATGTTCCTAATTAGGGAAGAGCTATTAGCCAAATAAGGTTGAATTTATAGCTTATTTTTAAGTAATAATCACATAGTGATTGGAACTGAAGTTAGATAGAGGGAGACTATTATAAAGAGGTGGGAATAGCACACTCATATTTTATTTTTCCCAGTTTTTTTTTAATTGAAGTATAGTTATTTACAATAGTGTATTAGTTTCAGGTGTATAGAATATTGGTTTGTCTTATCGTATTTAATATTAATTAAATGTGGTGGTGGCGGTTTAGTCGCTAAGTTGTGTCCGACTCTTGCCACCTCATGGACTGTAGCCTGTCAGGCTCCTCTATCCACGGGATTCTCCAGGCAAGAATACTGGAGTGGGGTGCCATTTCCTTCTCCAGGGGATCTTCCCAACCCAGGAACTCCTGCACTGCAGGCAGATTCTTTACCAACTGAGCTATGAGGAAAGCCCTTTAATTAAATATATAGATGATTAAATATTATCTGGCATGTAAATGCTAAGCAAATAGCATGAACTAATTGTTTTTATCTTTACAACCCACTAATAAGATACCTGCCATTATTACTCTCATTTTATACAGAAAGAGACTAAGGATCAGAGGAGCCAGTGACTTGTCCCAGGTCAGCAGTGTTGATCCAGCTCTCTATCGCCAGAGCAGGGCTTGATCTTCCCAGGAGGCCATAAGGAGGAGCCTCTCCCCAACTTTAGGAGTAAAGTCTGATAAATCTGTCCAACCCCTTCCACCATGTAGGGTTATATTAAAAAAGATAGGCATCTATGAACCAGGTAGCAGGCCCTCACTAGATACTAAGTCTGCCAGCACCTTGATCTTAGACTTTCCAGTCTTCAGATGTGTGAGAAATAAATTTCTGTGTTTTAAAAGCCTCCTCCCAAAAAAGTCTTTCCATTCAAAACCATTGAAATCCACTGGTTAGAAAAGAGCACACACAAATCCTCGGTCATAGCCCCTCCTGAGATCTATTTTCTCATTGTGTTATTGATCAGAGCTGAGTATCTCCCAAATTTAATTACAAACCACCGTCTTTCTGGAAAAGTTCTAAGTCATCAATTTCAATGTTATTTGGGAAGGTAATTGTGGTGGTGCTGGAGTCAAAAAAGAGAGATTCAGAGAAACCGGCTTTGTCACTGTACTTCATCAGACATGGGTGACCCAAGCATTTTTGTTAAAGGGAATTTTACTTGCCCGTGCTACAGCTTGGCTACCTAGACTGTATAGATATTTTCAGCCAGATATACAAACATATGTAAGCATTGCGATTTCATAGCTCCATGGTGACTTACATTTTTTATGATCTTGGGATCAATTTTGCAGACATGAGGAAAGATGTCTGTCCACCCAAAGATGTCTAACTCCTTCCTTCCTGCACATGTGAATGTCCTTCCCCTGGCACAGCCCTCAGTTTGAAGCAGTCTCACCTCCTGTTCTCATCTTCCTACCTCTCTTCTCAAAATGACTCATTAACTGGTTTCCTTGCCTCCTGAGAAACATGACGCTATCAGATTACTCTTCCTAAACACAATGTGTGGCATTCACAAAATTCTTTAACTTCTTTGTCTCCATCTCTAAAATAATAATAAAATTGATACACACCCAGATGCTACCCTCTGAGGGGCATTGTGAGTACCAAGGGTAACATCTGCCAACCACTAATACACAGAAGAATAGCTTTGTAATCACTTTAAATGCCAGCATCATGTTAAGTGGTCAAGTGTCCCATCGGTAAGAAACCATCATATCCAGTTCTTCTCCAAGTTCTCACAGTGCAACCTCCTTGATAGTTCTAGAATCTGAATTCTCTTCTCAGTCTCCAATGTTTTTCATCAATCCTTTCGAGATTGTTGTAATGATTTTCAAACTGGTCTCCAGGATCGATATTCCTTTCTCCCTTCCCACCACACATACAACCTAACCTCCCTGGTGCCCATCTGATCATGTCTCTGCTCATTAGACCCCTTTACCGGGTTCCTCACTCTTAAGGATAAATCCAAGTCATGGGGAGTGGCACATAGTGGTGTTCACTGTCTGGTTCCCTCTGTTCTCTCCTCCCCGCCTCCTCAAACACCTGCCTCAGTCCCCTACACTGAACTGCAGTCTCTCATCTCAGCATCTTTCTATCTAACAAGATAGGTCAGGGTTTACTAATACTTCAAAACTTTGTTTCAATCGTCCCATTTATAGTTTCCAATAGTCATTTTCTGACTCCCACCTGTATCCCACTGCCTTCAGAACATGCATGTGCCACAGCATTTATCATTCTACATTATCATTGTTTTTGTCTTCCAACTCTGAAGACAATCATTTCATCCCTGGTTCTCCAGGACCAAGAACATGCTGCTCAATAGATGAATGAATGAATGATGAACAGTATTGATCAAAAGAAATTATTATTTAGCCTTAGACCAGTCTATCTGAAAATATTTGGGAGATGTGAGACAGCTACATAATATCAACAAGAAGTAATGAAGGGAACACATCAGCAATAGGACATATTAATTGATAAGACACACGTAGATTTGTCACCAGACAACATAGAACTTCAAAATGAAAGCAGTCAGGTTTTAATGATGAGACACATGAAGCCCAGAAAAGTGAAAAAAAAAAAAAAATTGCTCCTGATAAGTGGTAGTAGGGAAGAACCTAAATTCCACATACACTATTTCTCCTATTGTACTCTGAAGCCTCAGTTGATGAGAAATTATAATCAGCACTTACAGGATTTTGCCATAAAAATGAATCTCAAGGACTATTTCTTTACTACCCAACAAATTTATGGATAAATATACTCTGAGTAGAATGACACATGCTTTCCCTGTCTGCTTATGGGAAGTCCCTGCCCTTTGTACACAAAATGCTCCAGTTATTGATCATAAAGGGGATTTTCATGAAGCAGATGGCACTGGTATTTGCTCATAAAGACACTATTATCGTTAACGGCTGAGTAACTGTGTGATGAAATAGATGCTCTGTATAACTGACAGAATCTTATAAAAAAATTACATCTATAAGATTTTAACATTTAAAATAATAAAGCTATGCTTCAAGATGTACTAAATGAATAAACTGTATATTTTGTTTCTTTCAAAGGGTTCGGACCCATACAAAATGTGCATATATTAAGATAGGCATTGTCTTACAAATATGATCTAAATAAACATGTAGCTTTAATTAATATGGCTGAGGTGTTAAGAATAACTGCTTAGATTTTTTAATTTTTAAGATTACCTAGATCCAATTTTTGGACTGTTTGGGGTGATCAGCTCTATGAACTTTAACATATGTGTAGATTTGTGCAACTACCACTGCAGTCAGGATACGCAGCAGTTCTCTCTGCTTTATAAACTCTTCTCTCAAAACTCCCTCGTGCTGGCCCGTCAGTCAAACTCTCCCCTCGGCCCAGCCCTTGGCAACCACCACTCTGCTCTCCATCCAGTAGTTTTGCCTTTTCTGGAATGTCATATAAGTGGAATCACACAATTTGTAATCTTTTGAGGCCGACTTCTTTCACTTAGCGTGATGCCTTTGAGATTCGTCTATGTTGTGTATATCAACAGCTGTCTATTTTTTATTGCATTTATAGTGTGGATATACTATGGCTTGTTTATCCATTCACCTGTTGAAGAATATTTGAGTTGATATGATAATTATGAATAGAACTACTATTAGTATTTGTGTGTAGTTTTTGTGTTCAATAAAAGTTTAGTTTCTCTAGGGTAACTGCCCATGAATGGAACTTCTGGATTGTGTATTTAAAGAAACAGTCAAACTGTTTTCCAGATAGCTGTATCATTTTGAATTCTCAACAGCAACGTCTGAGAAGTCTTATTGTTCTATATCTTTGTCATAATTGGACAGTGCTAATCTTTTATTAAATTTTATTAATTTTAAATCTTGTTTTATTTATTAATTCTAATTCTATTGAAATTTTATTAATTTAAATAACATTACTTTTAATTCTTATTTCATTGCAGTTTTAATCTGCATTCTCTAATGGCTCATGATATAGGCACATCATTTCTTATGCCTATTTGCATCAAAATATCTTCTTTGGTGAAGTATCTGTTCAAATATTTTACCCATTTATTATTTAGTTCTTTGCTTCCTTACACTGAATTTTGAAAGTTAATAATATATTTTAGACACAAATTGTTAATAAGATATATGACTTGCATTTTATCACAGTCTGCAGTTTGTCATTTTACTCCCTTAGCAGTGTCTTCCACAGAGCAAACATTTTAGTTTTGATAAAGCCCAGTGTATTAAAATTTTCACTTAACTGATTGTGCTTTTGGTGTCATATCTAAGAAGTCTTTGCATAACCCAAGCTCATGAAGATTTTCTCCTGTATCTTCCTCTGAAAGTTTCATAGTTTTATATTTACATTTTTATTTATGACTCATTTAGACTTATTTGAGGGGATACAGTGTGGGGTGTACACTGAGGTTCATTTTTTGCATATGAATGTCCAATTGCTTGAATAACATTCTTTGAAAAGACTATCCTTTCTCCATTGAACTGTTTTTGTACCTTTGTCAAAAATCAAATGGCTATATGTAGGTGGATCTATTTTTAGATTCTATTTCTCTGACTTATGTGTTTATCCCTTCATCAATATCATGCTGTCTTGATTTCTGTAGTTTTATAGCGAGTCTTACAATTGAGTAGTGCGATTCCTCCACAAGTGTCCCTCTAGAGTCATTTTCCTTTTATCCGTATAACTTTCTTTGGCATTTCTCTTAAAGGAGCTCTTCTTGTAATGAATTGTCTTAGTTTTCCTTTCATCTGGGAATGTTTTTATCTTACCTTCATTCTTGAAGGATATTTTCACTGGAAATAGAATCTGTGTTGACCATTCTTTTCCTTAACAGCTTCAAAAATACTATTTTACTACCTGCTAGTCTCCATAGTTGATGACTAGAAATCCAGTTACTTGAATTCTTCCATGAATACAAGGCATTCTTTTTCTCTTTCCGTATTTCTGTTTTTCCACAGATACAGACTGTCTCTCTACCTCTCTAAGCCACCTGCTCCATTCTTAACCTTTCAGGCAGAGATCCCTTTTGTGGGTCCCCTGCAAAATAGTTATTTCCTTCTCACATTTTAGGTAATAGATTAAAACACTTCAAAGGTCTATTATTTTATCTAATTCCTCTTCTCTGGTCAAGCCTTAGACCCAAAGATCATCCCTAAGGATGCTTAACTTATCTGCCTTCAGACTATAAGGTTTGACATGAAACACTTAACATGAAGCCAAATAAGGAAACCCTCTGGGTCTTGTTTTTTTTTTAATTCAAGCTCAGAAATACTTACTCACTGACCTGACTTTAATATTCTCCAGTGTCATGGGGTAAATATGTCTATCGATTTTGTACTTTTCCCTTGAGTGACCCATAACTAAGAACATGAAAGTAATAGAACGACACACTGCTTCACCTTCTCCAGCAGGCTCTCTCAGACTGATTTTGGACATGCTTTCTCTTTATATTCTTTTATAACAGATGCTCGTCACTGTCCAAGACAGTGTGGAGTGCAAATTCTCACCACAGTCCAGCCCCTCAGTTCTTGGCTATTTCCATATAATGTGATGTGTGTGAGAGCTGTGAATGGCAGCAAAATCTTTTTCTCTGCTCCTTTTTCCATAGTTTCAAAGACAGAACTGATGTTCAGCCAGAACGCATAATAGTTGCTAAAATGCTGGAATGGTTCAGTGCCATTTGGTTCAGAGCTGCCTCTCTGTCCTTTTTGCTGTCCCAGTCATCTGACCCTCCCCTGGATCTCCTGGCCCTCTCTCACGACACCATGCAATCAGAACAGGTACCAGGTAACACTGTATCAGGTCTGGAGACTCTGCTCCTCCAAACTTCATGTGACCATTCAAATGAAAACCTTCAAACATTCTCAAAGAAAATTCACTGGCCTCCAAAAAATACGCTTGAAAAACAAGATCTAGAAGTTATGCTGCTGCAAGAGAAATCCTTTCAGACACTCAAAAATGAGAATATAACTTGATAATGATACAGTCTCTATTCTGAGATATAGTGTGGTGTAGAGAAAAGAGCTCCAGAGCTAAGCATACCAGGATTCATTTCTTAACTCCAGTGTTTCCAGCAGAGTTATCTGGGCAAATCTCTTAGCCTCTGAGTTTCAACCAACTTGAACAGGCATAATGATACCTACCTTACAGTGTCATTGGGAAGACTAAATGACTTGATTAAATGCCCCAGTTCAATTTCTAGTGTATACTGAATACATATAACTTGCCTTTATCCTTTCCAGGATCCTTCTGGACAAAAATCTATCTGGATTAACTCTAGCTGCCAACCATTGCTTTCATTCATGCTCTCCATTCTCAGGCAGCTTGTTAAATAAACTCCAGACTCCTACCAATTACTCTCTCTCATTCCATGTTGCATTTACAACTAAATCATCCATCCCAGAATACATTAACTTGTGTATGAATATGTTATACAAAACGTCCAGCCATACTTGTCTGATGGGTGGGCTTCCACAAAATACCCAGCAAAGGGGCAATAAATTCGGGGTTGTAGGTCCTTCACCAGCCGAGCCTTGTAGTTCAGGAGTTTCTTCCTTTCTGTTTTAATGAACTGGGCTTTCCATTCCTCTGGAATGACAGGTTTTGGATTAGAGTCTCCTCTGTTCAGAAAAACAAAAGCTCTAGTAGAGAAATCTTTCAGGAGATAAAAATTGACAGCTGACACTCAGATGTAGACCAAAACTCTTTGTCATTAGTGGCTTTATTTTGCAAATTTCATTTGGTTACTAGGAAAACGTTCCTGAACTAGCCAAAGACACTGAAGCCTCTCCTTGTTTATGGCAATTCATGTGGACCTAGCTGAATACACAGGGTGGCATGTATAGTTGTACTTTGCATGAATGTATATTTTAAGAGCACTGTAATTCTTGTATTGCTTAATGCTCTTCTAACATGGAAATGGCTTTGCTATATGGGTGGATTATAAATGCAAAGCACGTTTGTTACACCCTGGGGGTGTGCAGCGGTCAAGGGCCTGGATATTGGAGTCAATTAAGACTTAGGGTCAAAACGCAGCTCCACCACTTCAATTCTTTAAGTTTGTTTTCTCCTCTGTGAAATGGAATCATGATGCCTAGCTCACAGTTTGTTCATTTGGTCGTTCATTCATTTGTTCAATATTTATTGAGCACCTACTATAAGCCAAAATAGTTCAAGGCACGGAAAATATAATGATGAACAAGATAAAGCAATTCCTTGCTCTCATGGAGTAGTCATTCTAATGAAAGATGCAAATAATAAATAAGTAAAAAAGTTTATTTCAAACATTGATGACCTAGGAAGAAAGTAAAATAGGATCATGGGATAGAGAGTGGCTGGGGTGAGGAGGGGGGTATTAGACAGGGCAGTTAGTGAAGATGGCATTGGAGTCATAGAATTCAGACAGACATAGAAGAGGAATTGGCCACTGTGTGGAGGGCAGGGGTAATAGCAATTCAGGCAGTGGAAACAGCACATGCAAAGACCAGGGCATGGATGTACTTGGTGTATTGAGTCTGAGGAACAAAAAGCAGGCCAGTATGGGCTGACATTGATCAAGCAATGGGGATAAAGGCAGTAAAGGAAGTTGAGAATTTAGGCAAGGCCCAGAGCATGTGGGATACTGTGTCAGGGAGCTGCTCCTACTACTACTGCTGTGAACATCTGTTGAACACAGACAAGGAGACAGAAAAAAACTAAGTTATCCATAAGCTAGACCTGATCACTGTTAACATTTAATTATTAACATTCTGGTATATTCCGGACCTTCTTAAATATATGTGCGCATGCAAACACACACATACACATACTCACATAAGAATGACGTTCTGGGACTTCCCTGGTGGCTCAGTGGTAAAGAATCCTCCTGCTAATGCAGGGGACACAAGTTTGATCCCTGGTCCAGGAAGATCCCACATGCTGTGGTGCAACTAAGTCTGTGCGCCATAACTACTGAGCCAGCACTCTAGAGCCCAAGAGCTACAACTGCTGAGTGGAAGCACCGCAACTACGGAAGTCCCCATGCCTAGAGCCCATGCTCCGCAATAAGAGAAGCCACCACGATGAGAAGCCCACACACCGCAACTAGAAAGGAGCCCCAACTCGCCGCAACTAGAGAAAGCCCACACACAGCAACGAAGACACAGTACAGCCAAAAGTCAAACAAATAAATCTTTAAAAAAAAAAAAGGATGGAGTTCTGCTAGCTGCCTTTAGTAGGTATATGTTGCCTCCCCAGTCACATTGTTAACCTCCTAAGGACAACACCTCCCCTCTATGTCTCACATGGTGACACATTCTGGGAAGCAATGAATACAGACTTAATAGAAGAAAGGAAGGAACTGTACAAGGCTTTCTTCATATTGCAAGTAGGGCATTTCTGCCACATCATTAAACAGAGATCGCTCACAAAACATATGCATTTATTAAATGAACATATATGAAGCACTTTCAATGCTAGTACAGAGCAAAAGTATGAACAAAATGTACCACTTACACACCCTCCCCCATCCCAAACCTAGCACTACACTCAGACCCAGAGCAGAAGTGCTTCTTCTTTGGATTGCACATTTTTTTCTAGCTTTGAGATATAACTGATGTGTAATTTTACATAAGTTTAAAGTACACACCATGGTGATTTCGTTGCATGTATGCATGCCTAATGATTACCACAATAAGGTTAGCTTATTACCTCCATCACCTCATTACCACTCTTCATGTGTTAGAACACATAAGATCTGCTCTTTTAGCAACTTTCAAGTATAGAGCACAATGTTGTTAACTATAGTCACTATGCTGTACATCACATCCCCAGACCATATTTACCTTATAACTGGAAGTTTATACTTTTTGACCACTATTTGCCCATTTTCCCTGCTCCCCAGACCCCCGTAACCCCATACTTTAGAGGGGCTTCTTTTGCCCCATCCCTCCCTGGTATGAGCATTGCACCAAGCCAAGGGCATATGCCTACCTCAAGGTGCCCACACTCTATTCTGAACCTCATACCAAGAGCATTTAAGCCTGGAATACCAATGTCAGACTCTTCCTGTTCTGCACTATGGTCTACATCAAGAATCCAATTGATCCAAATGATTCTTTTTCTTGACTTATCCTGAAATGCTCCCTAATCCCCTTAGTGTTTCTTTCATGCTCCATCAGCATACTCTGAGCTGGGAGCTTTAGTCTGTAATCTGTGATTTGCAAGTCTGGTTTCCTAGTAAGATTGTACATTTCTCGCAAGGAAGAACCATGTTTTAGTTATCTTTGTATTGATTTGCAAGGCATTTAGCAAAGTGCCATGCCTGCTCCCTGGCATCACTCTGATATAAAGTATTACCAGTAAACTTTCCACCACTGAAAGTCATCGGAAAGCCTGATGCTCCTCCAGCAAAATCACTCATCATTAAATCAACCTTCACAGGCAGCCTTCCTCCATTGGGTCTGGTGCAATCCACTGTGTTGAGTATTTTATGACCTGTGGAAAAATTATGCGGCATAAATACTCAAGGTGAAATCTTGAACACCATAGTTTGAAATCCCAGGCCAACAAAATCAAACTCCTCCTGTCGGATTCAGTTGGTTTTGGATGAGGATAATAATCAAGATCACAGATAGACTACTTTCCTTAGCCAACTATCTTCAGATGTTGAGCTCAAATGATGCAGGGGGAAAAATAACCAAATCAACACAAATCTCTCAAATTTTTGGAAATTCTATTTAATGACTGCTGGGGTAAAGCCATCTCCTCACAAGAAAAGCAGAAGTGTATGATTACATTACATAACAATATGTCAATATGAAAGTGAAACATTCAATAAAGGCAGTTTTGGAGATGTTACCCTAGGGGAAATAAAAAGTATCTGTTCCCTTATGAAAAAAATCTTTGCAACTGTCACCACACAGAGTATGTTACTGTTAAATTTTTCTCTGAGTGACAGATTTTCTGAGATTATCTCAGTGACAGTCCGTTTTCCTAAGACAGGGATGGAATATACCATATCTTATGGAAAATGAAGATGGGAGAAGAAGATGAAGATAGGATGGAACTTTGAATAGCTATCATTATCTTTCCTACCAAGAGCATGTTTCATTTTTCATTGCTGATGAAAATAAGAGAATACCTTTGTATTCCACGATAATGCAAGTGTCCATTTCAGGATGAACGCCATCCATCAGGATCATGAATCGGAGATTTTTGTCTACCTGGAATTTAATAATAAAACCAACAACTGTTTATGTCAGTTTGGCTTTTTGTTCAATATTTGAGTAAATGGTCATCTCTTCTGGAAAGAAATCCCTTTTATTCAGAATTGGATTTATTATCCAGTAAAGTCATACCATTGATTTATGGAGAGAAAAACTACTTTTTATTTTAGCTCAAATAGAGGTTTATACAGTAATACATACTTGCATAGTACTACATATGGAAAAAGTAAGCCATTGTTTCTTCAGTATTACAGCAACTACCAAAAATTTACCCCCAGAAAATATAACTGAAAAGTGTGGAAAAAACACTGATATCTGACCTGCTGCCATATTCCAAATGGCACTACATTGATATTAGTCAACTGGACACCACTCTGATTCAGATTCCAAAATACAGGTCTTTCTGTTTTTCCAACATAAATGGGGATATCTGGTCTTCTCCCAGCAAGCTTCTTCAGTGTAGGGTAACTAGGATCAGAAGGATGGGAAGTTTGAAAGGTGAAAAAATTACATCGTCTAGTATAAGAGACTCCTCACACCAACATGTTGACCAAGAAGCAAGGGACAGAAAAACCAGACCCTCCCCAGAGTCCAAAAAACAGGGTTTTTCCTCAAGGTTGACTGTAACAATGAGGGGGATTTCCTAGCAGATTTCTCTTTACTGGGAAAACATATCATACACCACACTGTGTACATCAAACCAGGAGTGCAAATTCCATTTTCCATCCTGATGCTGCTTTGAGCAAGGGTAGTTCTAACAAGGTACAAAGTGGAAAAGTCCTGCTCTTCAGCTTTCTGGTAGGTGAAGGTCTCCAGAATCTTCATTTTTCCTCACCTCTCAACCAGCAGCTCCCAATAAAAGAAAGGTCTTGGTCATAAAATGAGGAGAACCTATGAACTGCCCATCATTAGGGCAGTTCAACCATCAACAGATTGAGAGCCACACGGTGGCATACAGACTGAATTATTTGTCCTTAAGGAGAGTCGGTTACCAGCTAGGCAAGACAGTAAAATTTAGTGTAGAAGAAAACAACATTCACCATTTGGAGTAATTCCAACTCAGTATACAATTAACCATCCGAGCACTTTTGAACATCTTCACAGATTGTCAGCTCTCATTTCTGAGCATTCATTACATCAAAGGATTATATACTACTGTAGGGTGTGTCAAAACTTGAATAATAAACAAAAGGCTGTTTAGGTAACATATATCAATCAGGGTGTTAGGCATTCTCACTAGTATTTTATTTATGGTATTTTATTTCCTCTCACACACACACAAAAAAAAGCTCTATGTTTGTTTTCAATAAATAAGAACACATACTCAGAAATATATGGCTAACAAATAGCAAATTGGTATTCAAATTCAGGTTTTCTTATCCTAAACTTAGTGCTTCTTCTACTAGAAGGCAATTTCAACTTAAATGAATATGCTGTCTGGTTTAAGAATCAGACTTGTGCATAGAGTATAATGTCAGGTGAAATAAGATATTTAATAAGAAAAGCATAAATGAAATCAGCATATCAGCACTTATTAACTACATTTAATAACTACTCATTAACTAATATTCAAGTTCCAGATCTATATTAAATATGTAGAATCTGGAGGGGAAAAATCAAGGATTCTTCGAATATGTCTTCAATCTCTGGGTTAAGCAACTAAATCTTCTACTTTAAGGGAATTTAGGAGTTAGGATAGGTTATTCTAAAATCAATGTTTAATGCTTTGTGATTTTTAAGTTGTTGAAAATTCTCACTGGCATCGATAAATATTATCCATTAGGATACCCATGTGTGCTGCTGCTAAGTGGTTTAAGTTGTATCCTTCTCTTTGTGACCCTATGGACTGTGCCTGCCAGGCTCTTCTGTCCATGGGATTCTCCAAGCAAGAATACTGGAGTTGGTTGCCATACCCTCCCCCCGGGGGTTTTCCAGACCCAGAGATCGAAACCGCATCTCTTAATATCACCTATATTGGCAGGCGGGTACTTTACCACTAGCACCATCTGGGAAGCCCAATATAATACTCATATATTTACATAACAAATCACATTTGTTTGACTAAAGACTGTTTTCTAAAATACCCTGGGCTTTCCCGCTTGCTTCTCCCTTGGTGGCTCAGACGGTAAATGCAGGAGACCAGGATTCAATCCCTGGGAAGATCCCCTAGAGTAGGAAATAGCAAACTACTCCTGTATTCCTGCCTGGAAAATTCCATGAACAGAGGAGCCTGCTGGGCTACAGTCCATGGGGTCACAGATTCTGACGCAACTGAGCAACTAACACACAGGACCATGGGCATCTTTTAACAGGTACTACAAAGCAATCACTTAGTTTATGTGATACTGTTTTCTCTATACAATCTGCATAAAATTAGTTCCACATGGTGTTATTACACAATGCATGAACCCAGAACTTTCATAATTCTGCAGTTGTACATCTTTGGTTCCAGAAGCTTGCATGGATCATGCAGTCCATAGCAGATTTTTAATCTTAGCACAATATCCCAGCTGGTGATGTTCAGTTTTTGTGTATTGCAGGTAATCTGTTACTAAAGCAGCTAGCTACTTAAGTTTTTAGTTTCCTTAAAAAGAAGACAGAGAACATATTCATGCCTTAGAGATCTCATATGCTTTCAACAGAAAATCAAGGGGCCGGTCAACCAGCAACATACTTCCCCTCATCATAGGCATTTCTATCAAAGAGTCTCCTTCATGTAAACTTTGTCACATAAAGTCACAGCAAAGAAAAATAAGGTGAAATTGCTTCATGTTAGAACAAGTGAGCAGGGCTGTATGTTTATATCAGCACTCGAGAGGCTGTGACACAAACTTCTAAATAAGGATGAAGAAGGAGGACCCCAAAATGAAACAAGTGGTTGGAAATCTGACCCCATCTCTTCTGGTAACCGTTCATTTGCAAATGGGTATGGTTTTATAAATTCAAGCTCCTCTTTCTCCTTTCCGTTGACGATTATAAATTAGAGGGAGGTGGGAGGGGGGATCGGGATGGGGAATACATGTAAATCCATGGCTGATTCATGTCAAAGTATGACAAAAACCACTACAATATTGTAAAGTAATTAGCCTCCAACTAATAAAAATAAATGAAAAAAAAATCCTGTGATCAACCACAATGGACATGAATATTAAAAAAAGAAAGTATATAAATAACTAAATAATAAATAAATTCAAGCTCCTTTTTCTCCTTTCTGTTGATGATTATAAATTCAAGCTCCTTTTTCTCCTTCCTGTTGATGACCTGGGTTAAGGAAGTTTCAGTTCCTATCCTTCACATCACACAGCTGTGTTTTCAATAAAGGATGAAGTGGACTCAGGGTTCAAAAGGTGGGAGCTCATTGTTGTTGCAATGCTATGAACCAAGAGTTAGCAAATCACAGCGACCTGCTGCTATAATCTATGAATGCCTTTTACCTTTTTAAATGGATGAGAAGGAAATCAAAAGGACAATACTATCTGGTGACCCATGAAAACTTTATGATAATCACATGTCATTGTCCATAAATCAGATTTATTAGAAGACAGTCAGGCTGACTGAGGCCCATTTATGGCTGCTCTTTACTACAACAGCTGAACTAAGTCACCGTAACATCAACCATATGGCTTGTAAAACTGAGAAGAGTCACACCCTGTGTACTGGTCCCTGCCATAAAAGTTGAATTGAAAAAGGGAGTCGACATTCACGATCCTTAAACCTGGACTTGTTGTCAAGTAGCCTGAGGGTGGGAAGTGGAGGGTTATTAACTCCTGTCTTCCTCCCACAATGGCCCCTTTTGCATTTGTAATGGTATAAAGCATGAAAATATCTTCCCTCATAGCTCAGTTGGTAAAGAATCTGCCTGCAAGGCAGGAGACCCGGGTTCGATTCCTGGGTTGGGAAGATCCCTTAGAGAAAGAAATGACAGCCCACTCCAAATTCTTGACTGGAGAATCCCACCAACAGAGGAGCCTGACAGACTAGAGCGGTCACAGGAGTCGGACATGACTTAGTGACTAAACCACCAAAGCATGAAAACACTTTAAACATTATGCTACACAAACATACACATTTATCCAGGTTAGTTCTCTTCTCATCAGCCCCACTGAATCGGCCTCAAATTGAGCAGGGATCACAAAAGAACCTGAAAACCAGTGATGCCATTACTGCAGCATTTCCTTCAGAGTTCAGGGCTCAGACTTCATTACCTCAGGTGGTCTGAGTGCATGTGACTGATGTAAATTAGGTCCGCGCGGCACAGCCTCTCCAGCCAATCAGATGGAGGCTCATGTAGTAACCACCATCCTCGGGCAAAAGCAGGACCCGTTAGCCAAGGGTCAAACACCATCCTCTTGTCCCCCAGCTTGAGGTCCATGCAGGCATGAGTAAGGTATGTTATCTGTCAGAAGACAGTGAGAATCAGAGTATTGAGTCATCACCCGTCAGCAACAATGAACTGGGCTGGTTAGCGGACAAGTCGCGTTGGAGAACTTTGCTCCTGAGCATGTTCAGTGAGGTGGAGACCTTTAGGTAGAAAACAACTCCCGGCACACATCACTGCTTTGTTAGGAAAGAAAGGCTCATGGTGGATTTCAGGTGTCAAACCAATGGATTCATCCAATTCTACTCTATCTAAATTAGCTCCTAAATGCTTATTTACAGTCTGCACTGCAGAGTATCTTTTGCCATCAGTCCTTCAAAGCACGATTTACAAGGAAAGGCAGTTAAAGATGTGATGGCAGATACTTGGGGATTTAATTGCCAGACTGGCTGGAAATAGCCACTGAATGAATGATGAATGATTCCTGGTGGGTTTGAGGCAGGAGACAGGTGGGCCCTGGCTGGGCAGCTGGAGTCTGTCCCCTGTGGACACATAGTCCAAGACAAAGATAATAGCAGGAAGGAGGAGAAACTGAATCCTGTCCAGATAAGAGATAAAAAGACCACATCTTCTTCATTCTTAAGGTCAAGGAGACCTTCCAACTGCACACGCACAGTGAGGCTACTCAGAGGTCAAATAGGGAGGGGACACCACCACGTAGTAAGTGATGTGGACCTTCCCGTAGGCCTCTTCACTAGAATCCACCTTGGCTAAGAGATGCAGGTGCACATATGGGAGGACCCTGAGATGAGCCAAACACGGCTCAGAACTAGGCCAAGCAAGACGACTGGCCGAAGGAAACCCCAAAGAAATGCCCCATGTAAGTGATTTCAACTACCACGATGGCGTGACTCTTTCTCTCTGAGCCCTCTATCTATTCACATGTACATCTCTCCTCCTAATAAATACTTTATCTGGTTCACTACTTTCCATCTCTTTGTTGACATTTATTTCTACAAAGCAGACAAACCATGGCCCCTGACCCTCGCGGTCCAGGGGCTAGGATTCGGCATTCTCGCCGCCGCAGCCTGACTTCGATCTCTGGTCGGGGAACTGAGATCCTGCTTTGAGTTGCTGCAGGCGGAGGCCACCTGAGATCGGGCTGGCATAGCCACGCAGCCTGGAGAAACAGAACTTGTGAGACTTTCTCTTCTAACTTACCTGCTGACTCGCTCAGGGAGTCAGGGTCCTCTGAGGATGGCTATCAACAATGACTAAGAAACTGGCACAGACTCGAGGATTCTAAATTAGGGCTTCACTCCCTTCCTCTGGTCTGGCACACCCGGAGGACAAAGGAAAACGCCCAGAGCAGAGATAAGGGGGTAGAAACTCCAGGGCGAGAAGCCAAAGCAGAGAGTAGAGAGGTCAGCAAACCAAATTCAGGTGATTATGCCGCTTCTGGATAGGGTCCCATTTGCTTCCTCAGAAAAGTTAACAACCCATTTCCACAAGCTTCCCAGATACATCGGAAAAATTCATTTTGGATTGTTTAATTCTCCCAAACTACCAAAGCTTTTTCTCTGGAGGAAACTCTTTTAAAGGTAGGAAGTACACAAGGTTTGTGAAGATCTCAGGGCAACATGCAGAGATAGACAACTGGTCGTTTCATCTAATAGTGATTTGGAATCAAGGGAAATTTCTGAATTCCTTCCATATTTTTGCATGACTCTCCTTTGCAACCTCTGCTAAAAGGTTTTCTGCTTTGTTGTTGTTGTTGTTGATGTTGTTTTTCTGGATATATTACCTGATAATACCTGCCAAGTTCTGGGTGTTTCTAAAAAATTTGCTCAAGAGTTCAGGATAACTATACTGTAAGTCCTAAGTAGCCACATCCAAGAATATTCAAGGTAATATAAAATATACATATATGTGTGTGTGTGTGTATATCTTAGTTTTATTTTTGTTTTTAAGATAATCATAATTTAATGTTTCCTTACCTGCACTTCCCCAAAAGCCAAATCTTCAGAAGGTCTGGGCTCTGAATCCCAGGGGTTAGGAGGATTCAGTTCTAGAAGCAAAAGTTCATTTTCTTCACTCTCTTCCACAACTAGAACCAAAGGGGTATGAATCTGAATTAATAACAACAAGAAAATGATGTTTAAAAAGCATCACTGAAATAGAAATGTATGGCTCAGGTACTCAGAGTTCAAAAATCAAAGGGAATCAGAAACAAAAAGCAATGCTAATTTAGGTCAAGCAATATCTACTGAGATGAGGGCTGAAGACTGACACCCATTCATTTCTTTTATTCATACTACACTTAAGGAGCTCATGGAATCTCAGGTATGTCAGGGATGTTTTATGTCTTAAGTTGAGTGCTGGGCACATGGTGGTTTATTATTTTTATATCTTTTAAATACTGTTTAAGAATTTAGTAGAAGCATATTAATTAACATTTTCCTAATAAGAGTTATCAACTTATTTAATAACAAAACAACTGGCTTTCTTAATAAAATCAGAAATACACAAAGGACATTTGATATAACCACTGTTATTAAACTGTGTCCTTGAAAATGCAAACAATACAATAAAGATACATTTTATTATTATTTTCAGGCTATATTGTTGCTGGAAAATCATGAAATAGAAAGAGTGCTGGATTTGGAAACATCAGGGTGGGGATTGTGACTGGGCTGCTTATTATCAACATCCTGGGCTGCAGTTGCCTGATCATAAAATAGAGTTATGACACATACTTCATAGAGTTGTTGTAGGCAGTAAACAATATAAGAGATCCAACAGTGTCCAGCACTATGCCTGGCACAAAGAAAGCATTTAATCAATAATAATATTATTATAGCAATTATTTTATCTTCGAAGAATGAAGAGTTAAAGAGAAAGCTCAGTATTGACAAGACTATATACTATTAATAACAAATATCAATTCAAAAGTACAAAATATTATGGGAGATTCTCAGAAAACTGCATTGATATCCACTTGTAAGGATTTTCCTTCTTTAGAATTGTTCTCTCTTAAGAAAAGCAGGAAAAGAAATGTGTGTGCTCAGCTGCTCGGTCGTGTCTAATTCTTTGGGACCCCATGGACTGTAGCCTACCAGGCTCCTCTGTCCATGGGATTTCCCAGGCAAGCATACTGGAGTGGATTGCTATTTCCTACACCAGGGGATCTTCCCAACCCAGGGATTGAACCCATGTTTCCTACATCTCCTGCATTGGGAGGTGGATTCTTTACCACTATTGCAACCTGGGAAGCCGCAGTTATTAAGTAACAGTTATTAAACAGCTTTAATATTCTAAGAGAGGGTGAAAAAGGAAGGGCTTTCTAACAATGGTGCTGTACAGCTGATTATTTAAGTATTCTAGTTTATTATCTAGTTTATTAAAGACACAATGAGACATTTCCGAGTGCCTGAAAATAGAATACAAAGGAAGGACTTCTAAATTTAATAGCGATGGAAACAATTCCAGTGGAAAATCTGAATATATACAAATGTAAGATGAAAAAGTTCTACCACCAACAAAAACTGGCAAACACGTTTGGAAAATATATTAGCATCATACATGAGGAACAAGCTTAATTTAAAACAACAGTGATGCTATTTTTTTTATTCAAAGGAGAAAAGTCTGAAAAACTAAGAATGCCTCAAGCTGGTAAAGTATGAGGAGAAAGGAGAGCTTATTAACTAGTTAGAGGGAACAAAAATTGGGTCATTCTAAAAAATGGACTGTAATGCAATACATATTAAAGAATGGATGAATGAATAATGGCCTCATTCATTCATTTAGGACCGCAAGTAAAGAGGATGAGGTTAACCGTATTTTTTAGTTCATGACACATTATATTCAGTCCAAGCAAAGCTACTTACTTACTTACTTATTTACTATTCCCTTTATCTGTTTCCCATTGTTATTTCTCTCTCCTTTCCTACAGGATTATCATTTGAATGCTCGTGCAAAGTATGCATTATATTTTATGTGTACATTTTACTTCATATAAATGGCACTGGGTCTCCAGTCTGTTTCTTACTCTTTTTCACTCAATACTCTGTTTTTAAGATTCTTTCATGTTGCCACGTGTACACCTAGTCCACTTCCTCTAACTGTAAGTTAGTATTCTGTGGTTTACCACATTTTACTGATTTACCCTCCTTATGGTGGACCCAGACTCCACCACAACAAGATTTCTCTGGTGCATACACAGAAGAGAGACTGATGGATCACAGTGTATGGTCCATAAACCTCCTCTGACTAGTCACGGTTGGATTATTTTCTAGCCTAGCTGCACCAGCCACACCTCCGCCACATGCATGAAGATTTTTATATCTTTGTATCTCTGACAACATTTGGCAGTTCCTTGGTTTATTTTTATCAATAAAAAAAACCCTACAGTAACATCTCATTGCTTTGGTTAGCAGTTTTCTGATAATTAACAAATTTAAGCATATTTTCATATGCTTATTGACCTTTGGGGATTCTTCTGTAAAATGCTAGTTGATATCCATTCTTCATTTTTGTATTGAGCTTCCTATCCTTTCTTGTCAATTTGCTTTACTTAAGGGAATAGCAACCCACTCCAGTATTCTTGCCTGGGAAATCCTCTGGACAGAGGAGCCTGGCAGGTTACAGTTCTTGGGGTCACAAAGAATCGGACAGGGCTGAGTGATTAACCACTTTCTCTTTCTTCTTATATGTTAGATCATATTCCCCTGTTGGTTGTAAATATAGAAAAATAATCACCCAAACTATTATATGTCTTTGTCTGTGTCCTCCATTTAGCAGAAATCTTTAGTACTGATGAATTCATATTTACCAGGGTTTTGTGTGTGTGCGTAGGCAGGGAGTTGCCTTTTAAGCTGTACTTTTGAAATGTTGTTTGTCAGGAAATCACCAATCTCTAGGTCACAAAGATATTCTACACTTCTGTTACTTTTACAGTCTTACCTTTCTCATTTAGGTTATTAGTCCCTGTGGAGCCCATCTTTATGTTAAGGTGTACAAAATGTTAAATATGGATAAATACATTAATTGGGTGTATGTGTGAAAGTCGCTCAGTCATGTCCGACTCTTTGCAACCCCATGGACTGTAGCCCATTAGGCTCCTCTGTCCATGGAATTCTCCAGGCAATATGCTAGAATGGGTTGCCATTTCCTTCTCCAGGGGATCTTCCTGACCCAGGGATCAAACCCAGGTCTCCCACATTGCAGGCGGATTCTTTACCATCTGAGCCACCAGGGAAGCTCCCCTCAAAATACACTGATTAGTCAAACCCTTTTGCCAGTAATGCAACTATCTTACAAAAACAATTCCAAAAACAGAGAAGTTCTTAAGCATAAAGATCACAGTTTAGGTTTTGAAGGTAAAAAAAAAAAAAATCTGTGAACAGCATAAATGTCAACAGCAGAGAACTGGCTAAATAAATTAATATTTAATGTAGGCATACTTAAAATTATATATATATATAGAATCTGACATATTATGGCTAATGTAATATTAACAAGACAAAAACAGGATACAAAAATAATATATAGCATAATTATAATTAGTTATAAAAGTATGCCTAAAAAGATGACTGAAGATGGGACTAGACTGAAAATCAACAAAGAAACAGAAGATTTGAACAACACTATAAACCAACCAGATCCAAATACAGAATACACATTCTTCTCAGGTACATGTGAAATTATCTCCACAAACCAGTACAAACCATATGTTAGACCATAAAACAAATGCCAATAAATTTAAAAGTTTCAAGTTATATAAAGTATGTTCCCTGACCACAATGAAATGAAATTAGATACCAATAAAAGAAGAAAGTTGGAAAATTCAGAAATATGTAGAAATAAACAATATACTTCTAAATACAAATGGTCTGAAGAAGAAAATCACAAAAGAAGTTAGAAAATACTTTGAGCCAAATAAAAATGAAAATATAACGTGCTGAAACTTATGGAATGCAGCTAAAACAGTGCAGTGCATAGAAGGAAATTTACACCAGTACACATCTGTAATTAAAAAGAAGATCTCAAGTAAAAAACCTAATCTTCCATCTCATGAAATTAGAAAAAGAGGCATAAACTAAACCCCAAACAAACAGGTTGGATGCATGAGACAAGTGCTCAGGGCTGGTGCATCCCAGAGGGATGGGATGGGGAGGGAGGCGGGAGTGGGGATCGGGATGGGGAACACATGTAAATCCATGGCTGATTCATGTCAATGTATGGCAAAAACCACCACAATATTGTAAAGTAATTAGCCTCCAACTAATAAAAATAAATGAAAAACACACCCACACACACACACACAAAAACAAAACAAACGAAAGGAAATATTTAAAAGTTAGAGCTAAAATAAACAGAATTGATACTAGAAAAATAAGAAAAAATGAAAACAGGAATATGTTCTTTGAAAAGATTAACAAAATTTTCAAACCTTCAGCTAGACTAATAAAAGAGAGAAAGGGCTCAAATTACTAAAATCAAGGATGAAAAAGGGGATGTTACTATCAACTTTACGGAATAAAAAAGAATACAAGGAAATATTATGATTATTATACATCAACAAATTGATAACCCAGATGAAATGAGAAATTCCTAGGAAGACTCAAATTAACAAAACTGACAAGAAGAAATAGAATACCTGAGAAGACCCAAAACAAATAACGGGTTTAATTAGTAAACAAAAACCTTCACAAACATTAGTCTAAGCCTAGATAGCTTCACTGGTGAATCTGGCCTAATGACTAAAGAAGAACCAACACCAATACTTTCATAAACTCTTCCAATAAATAGAAGAGGAGGGAACACTTCCCAACTTACTTTATGAGGACAATCTTATTACCCTGATCCCAGGACCAGACAAAGATATCACACAAAAGGAAAACTGCAGACCAATATTCCTGACAAGTCTTGTTGCTGTTGTTTAGCTGCTCCGTTGTGTCTGGCTCTTTGTGACCCCATGGACTTCAGCCCGCCAGGCTCTTCTTTTTTGCCTAGGAAAGAATACCGGAGCAGGTTGACATTTCCTACTCCAGGGGAGCTTCCTGACCCAACAGGTTGCCATTTCCTGCTCCAGGGGATCTTCCTGACCCAGGGATCAAACACATGTCTCCTGCATTGGCAGGCAGATTATTTACTGTTGAGTCATCTGGGTGGGAATCCTTACAAACATAGACATAAAAATCCTTAACCAAATATTAGCAAATACAATTTAGCAATATAAAAAAGAATTGTAGCCATGACCAAGTGGGGTTTATGCCAGCTTGGTTCAATACAGAAAAAGCCACAGAGGCATAAAATAGATTAGTGATTGCTAGGGGCTGAAGGAAGAGGGGAATGGGAGTGACTGCTAATAGTTATAAGGTTTCTTTGGGGGATGGTGAGAATGTTCTGGAATTAGAGAGTGGTGGTAATGGCACAATATATGAAAATATTAAAAACCATTGAGCTGCACACTCTAAAAGGGTGAATTTTATAGTATATGAATTATATCTCAATTAAAAGAAGGAGGAGAAGGCTGGGGAGAGAGAGGAAGGGGACCTCAGTGACAACTGGAAGAAAAGATACCTAAACAGAGGTTGTCTTGAGGTGATGGGAGTATAGGTGAGCATCTTCTTCCTTGTACTTTCCTGACTTCTACCTTTTTAATGATGATCATATCCCATGAAAGAGAAGGATGGCTTGGTCTCATGTGAACTGAGATTATTCAATTCTATGATTTATAAATAATAATTTTTTGTGGTAGGGAATCACTACAACATTGGTAGCACTGAACTGAAAAGTGGACTCGGTTAAAATTTTCCACTCTCTCCGCATTTCCTCACTGGGGCAAAAGCTGAAAACTTCAGTTTGTCTTGTTACCACCTGCCCTCCACTGGCCTGCTGTCACTCCTGGCAAGAAACCCTCTACATCAGTTTTCACTTTCGATCTATTTTCCATTTGATCAACTTTCTGCTGAGTGGGAAATCCCTTCCTCTTGCTCCAAAGGTCCAAATCACCGGGGAGATGTGTGGATTATTTAAGACGTACATTAAAAAAAAAAGTCTTTTTTTTATTGGAGTATAATTATACTCCAATAAACTTTACAATAAGACTTTCCAATAAGACTTTACAATGTCATTCTAGTTTCTGCTGTACAATTAAGTAAATCAGATATATAGATATATATATATATATATCTGTTGCTATATATATACATCTCCCCTCCCTCCTTCCCACCCCACCTCCAATCCACCCTTCTAGGTTATCACAGAGCACCAAGCTGAGCTCCGTGTGCTAAAGAGCAGCTTCCCACTAGCTGTCTATTCCAAAAGACTTCGAAGTTTTGTAAAAGCCCTTAAGCAGCTATAAATTTATGGGTTACATACTCATTAAGCTGATAGTCTATTGTCCTCTAAATTACACAGTTTAATAATTTCAAACCTTTGTTTCTTACCTGTTTTCTGCCAAATAAACTTAACAGTATTTGTATAGTGCATGTTACTAGCTCTTGTTAAGAAGCAGTCTGCAGGTTTCCTAAGCTAGCTCAACAGACATGGAGTGGGGCTTACTGGCAAAAAGAAGCTAGTGGTTCCAGCTATCCTTTTGAGGGACGGGGGAGGATGTACTTGCCGTCAAAGGAATTAGCAGAATTAATTAGGTTATTAGCAGAATAACCTGCTGTCACATCTCTTTGGGGGTGAACAGGAAAGGACATGCACCTCAGTGACAACTCTGCTCTGGGAACTGGGAGAATGCCTTGGCAGGCCACACCCTTCTTTAAAAAATGATTAGGAGTTGGTCTCACCAAGACATCACAACAGTGGCCCTAGTATCCTATCCCATGTACAATAATTCTAGTCTGAAAAAGATGTAGAGCTGGTATAAACAGTTTCCAGTCTGGAGGTCCAGGCAGGAAGCCCTCCATTTAGCTCCCTTACAGATAACCAGTGTTAAGACTGCCCTCATCCACACTGCTTATGCATATACATTTCTCATAATTGTGTCATACTATATGTAACATTTATAATCTGCCTTTTTGCTTTATCTATCAAAAATCTCTAATTATTTTAATTCCTTCAATAGTATCACTTTTAAGACACAGTGGAATTATTTTTAAAGTTTTGATTGTTTTCAATTTTTCTCTTTAGATAGTATTGCTATGAATGAACATTCTCATACCTATATCTTTTGACATTTCAAGGATTATCAAGATCTTAGGACATAGCCTTGGATGTGGAATTGCCGGGTCAAAGGGATGCATATTTTTCAGTGTGTTAGGAAACTCACTGGAGAGTTTTAAGCAGGAGAATGACATGAATTAATTTTGATTTTTAAAATATCAGCCTTGTATACCTGAAGGGTTCCCTGGTGGCTCAGACAGTGAAGAATTCACCTGCGATGCAGAAGACCTGGGTTCGATCTCTGAGCTGGGAGGATCCCCTGGAGGAGGGCATGGCAACCCACTCCAGGATTCTTGTATGGAGAATTCCATGGACAGAGGAGCCTGGCAGGCTAAAGTCCACGGGGTCACAAAAAGTCAGACACGTTTGAGCAACTTGAAACTAACACAACATTGTAAATCAACTATACTCCAATACAAAATAAATACTAAATTAAATATATATATCAATCTGGGTGTTATAAGCAGAATGAAGTGCAGGAAGCAAGCACAGAAGCAGGGAGTCCAGTCATGCAGACAAAGGATGACTTTTTCTTAATCCATCTTTGTTTCTGTTAATACCCAGGACAATGGTTTACACCTGACATGATCTCATCAAAGACTTACTGAACAAATGAGTGAATGAACCAAGGGACCTTCTGAAGAAATTCTGTTTAGAATTTTCAGTGTTAATTATTTTTAAAAGACTTAATGTCCACAGGCTAAAATCAGAATGTAACCAAAGCTCCAAGTGAAATTGGAAACAAGTTGACAAGAAGGTCCCCAGTAATAGTGACAGCAGAAAACGTTGATCAATATGGAAGGTATTTACCTAGTTCATCTTGACAGAAGCTGCCTGGAGGGTTGATATACTTCATGGTGCTCACATCCAACTTCCAGTTGTGTTTTGTACATCTAACAGACCTGGAAGAAAAATCGTCCTTAGGTTTAGGAAATGGTGTAAATAAGAACTAATCTTATTGGGCTTACATGCATTATAAACAACTGGAGTTGATTGAACACAAAATTCATGAGAGGAAAACTATTAATAATTAAAGCTCAAATATCCAAGGAAATATAGACTAATCATCAGAAGCTAATTGTAAAAGTGAAGATAGGGCTTCCCTGGTGGTTCAGTGGTAAAGAATCCGTGTGCCAATGCAGGAGATACAGGTTCGATCTCTGATCTGGGAAGATCCCACATGCTGAGGAGCAGCTAAGCCTGTGTGCCACACTATTGAACCTGTGCTCCAGAGCCCAGGAGTTGCAACTACTGAGCCCATGTGCAGTCCACGCGCTCTAGAGTCCGTGTTCCACAACAAGAGAAGCCACCACAATGAGAAGCCTGCACGATGAGAGAGCAGCCCCCACCCCCCGCAACTAGAGAATGCCTGCTCAGCAACCAAGGCCCAGCATTAAAAAAATGATAACAAATAAATTATTAAAAATTGTTTAAAAAAACAGTGAAGATAAATGGCACATCATGAAATAATACATGTTAGAGATCAACAGAGCCATCAGAATAAAGTCACCTTTAGGGATAGCTCTCATAAAAAAGCTAAGCTGGTTAAGATCCAACCGAAGCCAATATGAGGAAAGAATGTAGTGATAAAGACAAATCTATGATTTACGATCACTCTACAAACCTTGGTCCCTATTATAGTGTACTGAATCTAAGTTCAACTTGAATTTGTATTTTTTGAGAAGAAAAGACTTCCTTATGGTTTAAGATTTCAGAGCATGGTTGCCAAAATACAGGATGCCCAGTTAAATATGAATTTCAGATAAATAACAATTTTAGAATATGTCTCACACAATATTTGACATACACTGGAAATTCATCATTTATCTGCAATGTAATTGAGTGTTCTGCATTTTTATTTGCTAATTCTGGTGGCCCTGTTTCAGAATGACAACTAGATTGTAGCAAAGTAGGAGGCTTAGTGATTTCTTTTCCATTTCTTATCAAACTGTGAAGGGCGTTATGGTGGTAGAAAATGAGGTTTAAACGTTCCATTTCCTCTCCACCTTGGTGGTGTTTCTAGTGAAGTTTTTGTAGCAGTTAAAGATTAAAAAAAACAAAAAACAAAAAAACACAAATGTCTCAAACCAGAAACATCAGATTTCTTAAACTAACAATGTCTATTTTAACTTCTATATCAGCAAATGACATGACTTTTCCCAAGCTTCATTATATTAAGAATTTTTCATGCCCTTTTCTAGTAACGAGGCAAAAAAATGTACTCCACACTTCAACTTAAAGAAGATTATTCTTAACGTCTACTCTCTCATCAATGAGTAGCCAACAACCTTTCAAAATTTGAGGACATTCCAAATGCAGCTATTCGGCATGCAAGTCAATAAATGGGAAGCATGGCAGGGTCTTAACTGTTCATGGGCAGCAGGCAGACAGGAGGAAAGTGACAGCTTCATGCACCAAGATGTTGTGAAAAGCTGTTAAATTTGCAAAATGACAATCACAGCTTATGGGAGTTTCTGATCTTGGTTATGTGTGAAGAAGAAAAATGGCTAAGGTAGGGAGGGTAAAGAGGTAGCTCATTACTCTCAAGTGTCTCCTTGTAGAGAGATTCCTCAGGCGGATTGAGAGCACCCAAAGAGAAGCAATCAAATTTGGAGCAATGGATGCGGGAGTACAGGGTGAGTTACTGTGAGGGTGGAGTTGCCAGTGCCAGCTCCAGGTTAGCCTGACAACAGAATAGGGTGAAACTAGGATCAATCACTCCAAAGGCTTTGCATGAAGGAGAGAAAGGCCAGTCTGGGGCAAAGTGATCACTCTGTTAGGATAATCAAGCCAGATTCAAGAACAAGCTGAATTCCTATAAATAATCTCATTCCCAAGCTATACCAGAAGCTCATGACAGAGTAATAATCGTAAAAGTAACTGACGTTTATTGAGCGCCTATCATATGACAGATACTGTTTTTAAGTGTTTTATGTATTTGAAATCACTTTATCCTCTGAGCAGCCAGAGAGAATAGGTACTCTCATTTTCAGTTTACAGAGGAGAGGACTGAGGTCCAGAAAGTCTAAGAAACTTGTCCATGTTCATGGGGCTATTAAGTCGTGGGGCCAGTCTTCTGACCAGGACAGATTGCGAGGAAAGCTCAGGCTGCTAATCACAAAGCTACACTTCCTCCAATGGCTGGCTATGTGAGCTCCATGGTGAGAGCCCATTGAAGAGAGAGGAAAAGCCGAGTCCCCAAACTGCAACAGTCAGAAGACCTCAAGGTCCCAGAGTGCCCGTAGAAACTCACTAGTGACAGAACGAGCCATGGCTGAGGTTTCCTGGATTAAATTCACTGAGAAGATGGAAGGGACTCGAAGCAGGGCTGTCAGCAAACAACCATGAGGATCTCCGAGAGTAGAGTTGCTGCTCAAAGTGTATCCCATACAATACTTGGAACCTATCTATGCTAAAAATATATTCATTGTTTACCTGAAATGTAGATTTAACTGGATGCCTTCTGTTTGACTAATCTAGCAATCCCATCAGAGCAGCCAAGCGGGAGACAGGTGTCAACACTGTTTTGGTCCTGAAACTAAGACTGTAGTGAAGCAAATCTGTATGCATGTGTAAGAATATTCTAGACTTGGGTAATGGTCATCTATACAATTCTAGCAGGGAGTTCTTAGACACTTACTCAGCTCCACTGAATCCACCTGCACTAAATTGCCCACAGATGACCTGAGAAATCAAATCGATAACAGTAGAAGACAAGTCTGATGTGGGAGTGGCTAAAAAGCACCCAGGTCAAGTTAGGCTGAAAAGAAGCTTGGAAAAATGGGGTCAGCCACTCATTCATCGCCAGTGCTGAGCATCAGGCTGACAGAGCATCCCCTCTCCCCTACCTTCCCTGTCTCTGCCAGAGTGTGCTGCTATATCTTTGGCTGTCACTGAAAACAAAATGAAACAAAAAAATCCACAGCAATCCTGCCCTGGTATTGTCCCTGAACTGGGGAGGGAGGTCATCTACATGTAGTCTTAGTCAAGGGATGGGGGAAGAGGGTACCGGTACCAGTTTTCCAAGAAATGATCAGAAGCACCTCTGTTCAGAGCAGGTACAGTTGGGGCTCTACCATGTGGGGTTTTTAATCACTGCAAGGTGGTAAGGGAAAGTCTATCTGCTCCCCAGCAGAGTTTGGACAAGGGCCTGCCCGATTCATACTTCTGGGGGAGCAGGAAAGGAAACCCCAAAGAGGCTTGAGTCTTGGAAAATAAAAGCTATCACGCACACCCAACCTCTCACTCACATACACAGACCCACGTACCTTAGAAATGTCAGTGTTTATCAAGCTAGGAATCCATTTTCAATTAGAGTTCTTGAGAGAGAACGGGAAATTAAATAAAGGTCAGAATGTTTTGAGATCAGAGAGATACCCTAAATGTGCACAAGTAAGTTACAAATTTGCTAGGAGAAATAATTTGTCAGTTATTTCATTTGATTTCCCAATAAGCACACTTCTGGCCAAATCTAATTTTAAGGGTCACCAGAGAAATGGAGACAGAAATGGCAACCCACTCCAGTACTCTTGCCTGGAGAACCCCAGGGACGGAGGAACCTGGTGGGCTGCCGTCTATGGGGTCGCACAGAGTCGGACACGACCGAGGCGACTTAGCAGCAGCACCAGAGAAAAAGCAAAATGACTCATGGTACCTTCCATCTAAATCCTCGATATCTTTCATGAACAGGCCTCCTTGGTGCTTGCACATATTCTTGCATGCTCGCAGGTGGCTCTTATTCTTATACAAGATGTAATCTTTGCCAGTGCTCTTATTTCGAACAAAATTGATTCCTTCCTTGAGACTGGCAACTTCAGTGGGGGAGAGACGCAAGAGGAGCTCAGCTGTTTGTTCGATGCTGTGAAAAGGCAAACGTTTTGAGAGGAAACAGAGATATTGTTAGGTTTTAAGAGAGAACCATTTGGCAATGGCGGTCAAAACCTCTTTTTTTTTAATTAAGATATTATTTAAAGGCCATCCTTCCAAGTACCCGGGCTGAGGGGCACCTGACGGTGAACTTTCTCCCCTCCTTTAAATGCCCATCCTACTTGTCGAGGGTTTATCCCCGCCTTCCCAGGAAAGTAATGCTTCCCTCACTTGCCTGCCCATAGTCTGTCGTTGCCTCTCCCTGGGTATTTCAGAAGAATGGCAGTCCCTTCAGAGTCTGTGGCTCATTCACTCCCCCAAGGCAGAAGTCTGTGTGGAGAAAGAGGATGTACACTCAGCTCAGTATTTCCGTTGGTGATGTCTCCTCGCTAAACATGTTTGTTTCAGAAGCCGAATTCTATATTTAGCGTCAATAACTGCTCCTCACCTTCAAACGTTCACATCAGGACCTCCTCTCTTTTCCTACTGAGAGTCACTCTACAGATTCAAAAGTAACTCAATCACTGCTCCTTGGTTAACCTTTCCAAGTTCTCCCACCCCCTCACCCACTCCCAGGTCAAATCTAACATTTCTTTCTTTTTTACTTTCCAGAAAACATTGAAATTTATTCTCTTTCTTTTACGGCATATCCATCATCTCATATAGATACAAAATTAAAGATGTGATGAGAACTCTTAGTACTTACTCAACAACTTTCATATATAATATACAGTAGTGTTAGTTATGGGGCTTCCCAGGTGGCGCTAGTGGTAAAGAACCCGACTGCCAATGCAGGAGACATAAGAGACACAGGTTCAATTCCTGGGTCGGGAAGATCCCCTGGAGGAGGACATGGCAACCCACCCCAGTATTCTTGCCTGGAGAATCCCCATGGATGGAAGAGCCTGATGGGCTATAGTCCATAGAGCCACAAAGAGTCAGACATGACTGAAGTGACTTAGCATGCACGCACGCAGTGTTAGTTATGTTTATCCAATTGTGCATTACATTCCCAGAACTTACTTATCTTACAGTTGGAAGTTTGTACCTTTTGCTAACTTTCATCCAGTTCCCCTTCCCTCCACACCCTGCGTCTGATAACCACAAATCTGATCTCTTTTTCTATGAGTTTGTTTTTAAAGTATAATTGACCTCCAACAATTATGTTAGTTCCTGGTACACAATATACGGATTGATGTTTCCATACGTTTTAAATGATCACTATGATAAGCCCAGCACTGTAAGTCTAGCACTTCTTAACGTGTTATTTACTACTCTGTAGAACCTTATATCCTAGTACCTGTGTATCAACCTACTTACTTGTACATAGATGCTTTTAAAAACACTCTGTACTTTTCTCTCCCCACCACTTAGCAGACTGCCTATCTTTAAGAGCTAGCTAAAGATTGAACCAACTGCACCCAATCTGAGTCATTTATAAAAAGCTTCAGCAGAAAATGAAGGATTTGATCTTTCATATTTTTTCAGGGAAACTACAAGTGTTACATTTCTCCAACTCCAGTCTTTAAACAAACTCTCTTTATGATGCAACTCCGAATCATAGTGGAATATAATTTTTGTGAAGAGGGACTTCAAAATAACTTTTAGCATATCCATGGTATGAAATCTGGATGCATGTTTAATTCTATATTCCACTCCAAATCCAAAGTGGTCAAAATTCTTCTCATATCTTAAATTAAAATTGATTTGATTTTCATGTACATTTTTGGCGCTTTCATTTCTGGAAGCAAAATCTGCAGATTTCTTAAAGAGGAAATTAAATAATATTATAAAAATATCATAACAGGAAATAAGAGAGAAGTTGCTTCTAATTTTCAGCTAATAAGGCAGAATTCTGAGAATGATCCATTTCTTCAAAACTGATTCTCGTTGTCACTTTTGTCCCAAATTCCTCATAATTCTGTTCATAGTAGACTTGAAATGTTTCCAAATATATGTTTTAAATGTATTTGATAGAAAGGAATCCTTGATAAGCCTCATGAAGTTCTTTTATCTTTATTCTTATGAGTACAAATATCCGACACAAGTCAAAGCAAGTCCTGAGGCAATTTCTGTAATAATCAACCCAAACATGTAAAAAGAAAATCTTTCTAAATATTTTGTTTTACTTTATTGAATGAACAAATCAGAGAAAGGTCTCTGATAGATTCTAAGGATTTCATCAACTGTGTAAGACAAGTTGAACTAACTACATCTTTATTAATTCCTTGAGAATATCAACCAGAATCTAAAGCAAAATTTTAACATGTGCACTCTTATATACATGGTTTTGTATTTCTTCTTCTTCTTCTTTTTTTTTTTAAAGAATCTACATCCCTTTGGTTCATTTTTAAAAAATATTTATTTATTTTTTATTTGGCTGCATCTGGTCTAAGTTGCCTGGAGAATCCCATGGACGGAGGAGCCTGGTAGGCTACAGTCCTGGTCTAAGTTGCAGCAGGCAGGCTGCAGGACCTTCATCGCATAATGCAGGACCCTTTGCTGTGGTGCACTGACACTCTAGTTGCAGCGAGCGGGCTCGGTAGTTGCAGCGAGCGGGCTCAGTAGTTGTGGCACTCAGGCTTAGTTGCTCTGCAGGTTGGGGGACCTTAGTTCCCTGAGCAGGCATCGAACCTGTGCTCCCTGCATTGCAAAGCAGATTCTTAACCACTGGACCACCAGAAAAGTTCCCCCTTATGTATTTTTTCTAATGGTTAGTTTTCCCCAAAAGTTGATTTTTAAACTTTTTTTTTTTTTTAATGAGTTGGATTCCATTAAAGTCAGGAAAGTAAATTATAGTAAATTCTGCTTTGGGTATAAATAAAATATTTAAACTAAGATGATGGGCATGGTAGCACACCTACTTTCCAACCTTCCAACATTTTTTCAAACACTTCAACGTGTGTGAAAAATAATCACTAAACACACATAAAAACATTTATATAGGGACACACATTTTTTTCCTTTTGCCTCAAACTTGGTGGTATGGCATCCTGCTTTTAAAATTTTAATATTTTCTTTCTCATGAAATTTTAGCTTTGGTGTTGACTTCTTAAATATTATTTTAATGATATTCATCTTGATTATATTCATCTATAAAGCCAAGGATCTTCCAGAAGGTTAAGGTCTGAGAAAAAGAGCTAGAGGAAGAAAAGGCAACTCATTCAGAACTGTCAATCTAGAAATGATTTTGTTACCATAATTTCTAAATTAGATTCGTATTTTTTTATAATTTTATTTATTTCTTTATTTTTGGCTGTGATGAGTTTTCATTGCTGCGCTGAGTTTTCATTGCTGCGTGGGATTCTTCTGTAGTTGTGGCAAGCACAGGCTGCTCTCTCGTAGTATGAGGGCTTCTCATTGCGAGGGCTTCTCTTTTTGTGGACCACGGACTCTAGAGAGAGAGCTTCAGTAGCTGCAGTATGTGGGTGCAGTAGTTGCAGCTCCTAGGCTCCAGAGAACAGGCTCAATAGTTGAGGAACACAGGCTTTGTTGCTACACGGCATGTGGAATCTTCCTGGATGGGGGATCAAACCCCCATCAAACCCCATGTCTCCTGTACTGGCAGCAGATTCTCCACTGCTGAGCCATCAGGAAAGCCCCAAGCTTTGTTTTCAGTGGGAAGGTGTTCAATGTTCCGTTCACAGGGATGTAAACTGCGTGAATGTTGAGCTATAAAATGTCTGTCACATGGTGGTAAATATCTGGTGAATGAAGGAATACACTCCCAAGAAGGCAATATGTCCTCCATTTGGACAAAGAGTGTGAAAATGCTTCCAAAGGTCACAGATTAAAGAAAAGATCAAATTACTGGCTCACATAAGTTTTAAAAAGTAACTTGGAGTAATTCCCTGGTGCTCCAGTGGTTAGGACTCAGCATTCTCACTGCCAGGGTCCCAAGTTTGACCCCTAGTCAGGGAACTAAGATCCGACACGCTGCATGGCATGATCTAAAAAAAAAAGGAAGTCTCAAAAAAAAAGAAAGAAAGAAAAATTTTTAAAAAAGGAAGTCTTATACTCAAAATGCTTTGGGAACCAAGGACCTAGCAGAAGAATGTCAGGCTGCAAGCTTTATATAGAAATCTTTTATAATTGCATTTGCTGTTAGGTACTTCATAAACATTTGTTGAACCAATAATATGAAATAGTCAAGATTGCTAAAGGCCTTCAAGTTGTTCCAGAAATCAAAATGAGAAACTGAGAGACAGCAAATTCTCATGAGGCTGTATGAATAGACAAAATCAGGCCAAATATAAAGAAATATTAGAGAAAATTTATTCCAATTATTTTAGAATAATGGGTTCTAATCTAAACTGTTCAATAAAAAGTCATCAGCTTACACTGTTCCCTTAAGACCCCACATTGCATGTTTCATTACAAAAGGCCATAAAAACAGTGGGTGTTAACCAGAAAGCACACTTAAAACAAGATAAAATTTATGCCTTTGCCTTTATTCAAAACCACTAAGGGTCCACAACTAGATATGCTGTGCGGTTTGGGTCCCCACTCCATAAGGAAGACATGTCAGGGTCGGGAGAGGTCCTGAAAAATGAGATCAAAGTTATGAACTAGATGGAAGGGAATCAGCAATTCTGATACTTCCATACACATATACTAGAATTGCACCATTAAATACATGGATGACAATGGTTGAGAGCCAGCTATCTCATGGTTGGAGTGGGACTTATAGATAAGCAAGGGGAGGAAGCTAGAATAACCCATGTGGTAATGGAATACTTAGAGATAAACATATAGCCTTGGATGTGAACATTAAAAAAGAAAAGCTAAAAAGCATCCATCTGAAGAAACATTAGAGAACAATAAAAAATGGAAAGAAAGTAAGAGAATTATGAAACAGAAGCTCTACACAGACAGGATCAACAAAGGCAAAAGATAATGGAACCATCAAGAAAGCGAAAGGACAACACACAAACCAGGAGAAGATGTTTGCAAGTTACGTATGTAATAAGGATCAGATACCATGAATTTATTTTTTTTAAACTCTTAAAAGTCAGTAACAAAGGAATTAGGAACGGTAAAGGAGTCCATATAACCAACTGATGCAGAGTTCCAGAGAACAGCAAGGAGAGATAAGAAAGCCTTCTTAAGTGAACAATGCCAAGTAATAGAGGAAAACAATAGAATGGGACAGACAATCCAATTAAAATAAATTAATTCATTTAAAAAGAAGAAGGGACAGACTAGCAATCTCTTCAAGAAAATTGGAGACATCAAGGGAACATTTCATGCAAGGATAGACACAATAAAGAACAGAAATGGTAAGGACTTAACAGAAGCAGAAGAGATTAAGTAAAGGTGGCAAGAATACA